TACCGAGGAGATTCTGAAAGCATGCGGTGTCGCATCGTCAACAACAGAAACGCCGCTCTTCCAAGTATGCTTCAATTACCGCATGGGGGCTGGCCGCACCGCGCCGCTACAGGGAGTGGAGATGAAATTCTTGGACTATGTTGACGCTCAGAATCCGTTCGACCTCGTTGCGACTGTCGATGAGCTAGACGACGGAACTGCCATGATTACCCTGTATCTACAAGATTACTTGTACGACCAACAGGGTGCTCAACTGCTTGCCAGCATATACACAGACATGCTCGAGGAATTGGCAAAGAACACAGACCATCTAGTTGGCTCCGTGTCGATTTCCAACGCGGCCTTGGAGGACGAGGCCATCAAACTCGGCACCGGGCCGATCTTGGACCTTGCAGCTCCTTCTGCTGGCACTCTGTCAAAGATGTTCAACACTTGGGTAGACAAAGACCCCCACGCTCTGGCCGTCAAAGACACTACTGGCAAGACAAAGACATACCTGCAGCTCTCAGAAAGGTCTAATGCTATTGCCGCGTCGCTACTAAACGCCGGCGCGACGCATCCTACTCCCATCGGTGTCCTACTTGAGCCCGGTGTAGACACGATCGCCACGATCCTCGCCATTCTCAGCATCGGAGCCGCCTACGTACCGCTCGATACCAGGAGCTCAGATGCACTACTTGCTGGTATCCTGCAAGAATCACAACCGGGAATTGTGGTCCATCACGCCGCAGCCGCCCAACGCAGCAAGAAGCTGCTCGGAAGCTCCTCCAAAACCAAGGTGGTCACTCTGAATGCCGTCCCTCAGGAGACCATCAGAGAGATCCAAGACGTTTCAGCCCCAGAGGGCCTTGCAATGATTCTCTACACTAGTGGTTCCACAGGTAGGCCAAAAGGGATCCCACTAACTAATGCCAACATCCGAACCCCTATCCTCGGTGTCTCGGAGAGGGTGCCACTTGGGCGAGAGGTGGTTCTCCAGCAGAGTGGACAAGGCTTCGATGCTGCAGTCTACCAGATTTTCATCGCGCTTGCCAACGGCGGCACCTTGATCATGGCTGACAATAGAGATGATCCTGCATCACTCGCCACTCTGATGGCTCATGAATGCGTTACTTGCACCACCCACATTGTATCTGAGATGCAAGCTCTGTTGAAGTATGGGTACGATCAGCTTCGCAACTGCTCTTCATGGCGCATTGCAATGGTTGCCGGCGAGGAATTCACAGTCCAGCTGTTGGACCAGTTCCGCGCGCTCAGCCGACCGGACTTGAAGGTTATCAACGCATATGGACCGACTGAAGCGTCTATCTGCTCTTCCTTGGGCGAAGTGTCTTTGGAAACAACCGACTCAACCGAAACTAGCATCCCTATCGGAAAGGCTATTGCCAACTACGGGACATATATCGTGGATCAAGATTGCAAAGCTGTTCCTCTTGGCTGGCATGGTGAGGTCGCGATTGCAGGGCCTGGTGTTGCCAGTGGTTATCTAAACCGCCCTGAGCTGACCCAAGCTAAATTCAAGACATCGGAATCCCTGGGACACGGGTTCGGATCAAGTCCTATCTATCTTACCGGAGATAAAGGTCGAATGCTTCTAGACGGCTCCATCGTGCTCTCCGGTCGCGTGGATGGAGACGATCAGGTCAAGGTTAGAGGTCATCGAGTGCAGCTCGGCGAGGTCGCCAGAGCTCTTGTCCAAGCATCTCGAGGAGTCTTTGCGGATGCTGCTGTTCTGCTGAAGGGAGGCGATTCGCCAAAGCAGCAGCTCATTGCCTTTGTCGTCTTCTCCCGAACCAGCAATATTCAGGACAAGCAGACATATCTCCGTCAGCTGAACCAGGAACTCCCAGTTGCAGCATACATGCGGCCCGCAATCATCATCCCTCTGGACACTCTCCCAGTGACAGACCGTGGCAAGCTTGACACTAAGAAGCTGGCGTCATTGCCTCTACCCAACATTTCGGTCGAAGACGGCGTGGACGAGCAGCTTACACCAACCGAGGCGCGATTGCGAGACGTTTGGAAGAATGTCTTGGGTGACATAGCATCATCCATTCCAATCCTTCGTAGCTCCGACTTCTTTTCCGTTGGTGGTAACTCGCTGCTTCTGCTGACTCTGAAGGCTGAGATCTCTCAAACCTTCGGGGTTGAGCATCCGGTCTCCGAACTCTTCCAGGCCAGTACACTTGAGCTTCTCGCTGCGCGACTCGACGGTACTTCTTTGTTGCCGCAGATTAACTGGGACGAGGAGACAGCCCTGGACGAGACGACATTCACACCACCCCCGGCTACTAACGGAGTCAACGGACATGGCGCATCGAATGGTCATTCGAACGGAATATCTGTCCTTCTTACTGGAGCCACAGGCTTTTTGGGAGGCCACATTCTGCGCCAACTAATCGAACTGCCAAGTGTCGCGCACGTTCACTGCGTGGCCATTCGTCCCAGCAAGGATGCTGTACCCCGACAATTGAGCGTGGAATCCCCCAAGATCATCCGTTATTCTGGTGATCTCGCACTCCCCAACATGGGCATGAGCGAGTCCGAATTTTCGGATCTATTCAGGAGTATCGATGTCATCGTTCACAACGGAGCCGAAGTCTCTCACATGAAGAACTATCGCAGTCTCCGAGCTGCCAACTTTTTGTCGACCATAGAGCTGGCACGTGCGGCTGTGAGCCATGGTATTCCGATTCATTACATTTCCACTGGAGGTGTAGCGCGTCTGAGCGGCGCTGATGAGCAGCCCGAGGCATCGCTTGCCGCATTTCGCCCTCCCAAAGACGGATCGGACGGATACGTTGCCTCCAAATGGGCCAGCGAGGTTTTCCTTGAAAAGATTCAAAGGCGCTTCCAAGGGCATGTATGGATCCACCGGCCGAGCAGCATCACCGGCGACGATATTCCCGACAATGATATTTCCCATAGTCTGCTCAAGTTCTCAAGGGAGCTAGGGGCTCTACCAGATCTCACCGGGACTGGGTTTTTCGACTTTATCAGCGTTGGAGCTGTTTCAATGAACATTGCTGCCTGCGTTGTCAAAAGCAACGAAAAGAGTGGTGGCGATCTGGTGTATATTCACCAGAGTGGTGAACGAGTTATCCCTGTTAGAGACTTGCAAAAGTATGTCGAGGAACTGGAAGGGAAGCCATTGCAGGTGTTGCCCCTGAAGGAGTGGGTGGATTTGTCGATTCGCAAGGGCTTGGACGAGGTCTTGGGGTCCTACATGTTGGCCTCCCAGGGAGTGATTCGGGTACCTCTGTTGCAAAGGGGCCATCCTATCCTGTAAACGCTTAAATGCTGTAGGCTCATTTATAGTTATAGAAATCTAGTCCCAACATCTTTGAACGTCCAACTCCTGTCCATTACCCCTCATACACGAGACGTAAATCTTGGCACAAGGGCACTATACTTGATACTAAAGGACGGGCATGTCATATAATAGATTGCTTGTCGCATAATGGCTCAGAGTGTTTCACATTCGTTCTATTCATTGGACAAGGATACTATCTGAGAGATAATACTGGCAAGTCTCAAGCCTTCTGACCAAAGGCAATAACCATCTCAACTTGACCCCCTTGGGTCTCCAGCTCTTCCTTAACCCGCCCCGGAAGCGTGTCAAGCTGCTCGCTGGTAAACGAAGATGGCACGGTCCTGGCCACACTAGTCAACGGCACAATGGGTCCAGTGACCCCATGAATACTCTGCTCGTGCAACTCTGGCTTTGCCTTCTTGCCCAGCTTGACGATAACGCGCTTCTCCTGGACATTCTTCAAACCGGCTTCTTCCAGCATGGACTTGTTATTGTTGGCAAAGTCACCGACACCGATGCCAATAAACATCTCTGAGGCCATCTTGGCAAAGTCTGTCATCGCAGGGCCATTCGGTGGAGGACTGAAGGCATTCATTTCCATGAGCTGAACCCAACCGCCAGGCTTCAACAGAGTAGTCAGGTTCTTGATCACAGGGGCCGGTCCCTCAGGAGCAGAGCCCGCCAGACTGCCTCGGATGTGGACCAGGTCGAAAAAGCCCAAGTACTGCTGCGGCCATGGGTCCTTGAAGGAATGGGCGAAATAGGTAATGCCATCTCGATTCTCTGGGAATAGCTCGCCTTCAACGTCGCTACCATAGTAGTCATGCTTGGCGGATTGCTTGCCCCGTACATTGCGAAGCCAGGTGCCTTTCAACAGTGTTAACGCCATTGGAGAGCTGTTAGGTTCCATAGCTTACCGTCAGCGGTACCAGAGTCCAGGATCTTCTTGCCCGGCTCGTTCATATCAAGGGGGGCCACCACCAGTTTGCCCTCCAAGGCATCCTCGTAAGTGGCATCTAGCGCTCTCAAGCGTAGCAGCTCGGGCTGGTGCCCGAGGTTCTTGGTCATCTCCATGAAATTATCCATTTTGATCTTATCTCTTAGTGATACTGATTTGGTGTGTAATGACCTATACAAGGTGATGCAAGGCGGACAAGACTAGTTAAACTACACCTTAATCTCGATAGGGCCGATCCTGTACATGAGCTAGCAACTTCTGTTGAATTGTTTCTACTTTTTTTTCCCCTTCTTCCCAGTGGCACATTTAGGCCTGTTACGTTATCCTGTACCGAAATACGAACAGGGTGCATATCTGTATCGCCTGGCCGAACGGCGTCATTGCCGTATATGGATAACGTGCCGAATCGGATGCTTACGCCGAATAGTCATTTCCGGAGGCTAGGGATCCGCGAGTGCAGCGAGATATGGAGGATTGCTTCGTGCTCGTGGGGGGGGGGGCATGCCAAAGGAATTTGTTGCATTCAGTTACCTATTGCGTGTTGATGTGCGAGGCACGGCGATGACCAGCCTGGTTATCCAGCATCTCGTAAACCTTGTGCATTCGACGATCAAAGCACGAAGAGCGACTTGTGACATCTTATCTAGTCATTACAGTAACAAACAAACGTGACGATGATTTCCTTGTACCATATGTCGTGGTTAGCCTTGGTGGCCTTCATTTTGCAGTATGTTGCTGGGATCTGGTCAAGCCGTCAACGTAGACAGGGCGCCAAGATACCACCTGGGCCAAAAGGTATACATCAAGTCAATCCATATTCAATCACTGGCTAACGAGACAAAAGGATGGCCAGTTCTTGGAAGCGCGCCAGCCCTGGCTGCCGTTGACATTAATGGGATTATCGGCATCTTTAAGAAGTGGGCAGAGCAATATGGCTCCATCACTCAGTTCAGCGCCATGGGTGACAAGCAAGTAATTCTTACCGAAGAAAAGGACGCAAGAGAGCTGTTTGTCAGGCGAGGAATCAAGTATTCTGATCGGGGGGCCCCCCACGCCGTGGAATATATTTCGATGAAACAGAATCCTGGTTTCAGGCCGAAAGACGGTGAGCAGCTTGCCCCAGTCACGGCTCGACGAGAGCAGGACCGGATTCTGAGTAAGTACTAACAGCTACAGATGGATGGCGTCGCCAGAGAAGCATGATACAGAGTGCTATCAACATCACCTCCATCAATAAGTATCAGAGACTTATGGATGATGAAGCAACATTCACGGTAAATGCATTGCTACAGTCACCGGACTCGTTTCATGAAGAGTTCTTGCGATACTCCTACTCGGTTTTGACGAGCTCGTTGCTCGGCTTCTCAGTCCACAGTCCATCCGACCCTTTTATCCACCACAATGAAACCTTCACGGCGGAACTCATGAACTCGTTCCGTCCTGACTGCTTCCCGAGCAATGTGTTTCCCGCGCTCAGAAAGCTCCCTACGTGGCTTCTGCCAAGTTTGAGAACTATGGAGAGGCTCCGGAAAGAGTATGTGGGCGAGATGTGGGCTTTCAGACGAAAGATTGAGAAGCTTGTCAAGGATGGCTCGGCGACAGAGTGCATCTATAAACACTTTCTCCTGAACCGAGACCAGTATAGCGTCACTGACGAAGAGTCCGTTCACACCTTTCAGGCCATGATCGACGGCGGAACTCGATCTCCCCACAACAATCTACTAACCTTCATATTCCTCATGATGGAGTTTCCCGAGTGGCAGAAGAAGCTCCAAGACGAGGTCGACAAGGTCGTGGGCAAGGATCGAATGCCGAGCTATACGGACATTCCGAACCTGCCCACTGTGAGAGCTATCGTGAAAGAGGCCGTCAGATACAGAAGTATAGTCGCAGAAATGGGCATTGGCCATTGCCTGCAAACGGACGATATTTATGAGGGCTACTTTTTTGAGAAGGGCACTGTATTCAATGCGATATTCGCGTAAGTCATTGAATGTCTGAGATAATAGTTATTAATCCTACCAGGTCTATCCTTATGGACAAAAACATCTATCCAGACGGCAAACTTTTCAATCCTGCCCGCTGGCTTGAGCCTGGTTACCCTACCTACAAGGAACCCCTGACCACGTATCCTAATTGTCAAAGATTTCCAGCATTTGGATATGGTAGGCGAGCATGCCCAGGCGTGGAATTTGCAGAGAGGACCCTGGTCATAATGTTTGCAAAGCTGGGGTGGACGCTGAATATCAAATGGCCGACTGATAAGAACGGTAAGGAACTTCGGGAAAATTTACAGTATGAACCAGTGCCAGCTCCGAGACCTTTGAAGTTTGGTTGCAAGCTTGAGGCTCGAGATACAGATCGAACCAAGATAGTTGAGAAGGCAGCGAAGCATTTGAGTCTACAGTGATTTGAATTCTTCGATATTGGATAGACACACGAAATTCATGTTACGCCTAACCTGTCTGTGGATCTCTTGTTCTATATCTATCATCACTCTCCGTTATGGTCTATTCCAGAATCTAACGGCTATTGAAATCACCTCTCTTGCTCTCGAGAGGGCAATCTCGTGCCCTCCACTCAAGACGTGTGTCTCCACGGCTTCTGTCCCAAGTATCTCGGCCGCGTCCGACGCACATTCATCTCCCACAACAATAACGTCCTTCTCCGCCACTATAAGGCAAACCATTCCACCTGGCAAGCCCGGTAGAGCATCTGTCACTCGTCTCCTGGCAAGCTCGTCGGCCAGTGCTCTCCACGTCCGGTCATGTCGTCTATAGACTAGAGCACTGCGGAGTGTACTCAGGTAGGACCGCACAAAACCAGCATTGGCTCCTAGCTGCCATCGGATCACATCTCCGACGGTGACTTGAGGCCGATCCTGCGCAATAGGCACATCATCAAAAGCCAAGTCGTCCTCGTCCTCTTTTTCCCCAGGGACATCAGCACATGCCGCGCCGTTCCTGGGCTCTAAACTCTCCCGAAAAAGTCTGAGGCGTAGCCACTCGGGTATAACCCTAGCGGAGGAGTATAGAATTTTGTCTAATGGCTTCATGTGCGACGTGCGAATGAGGCCTCCAGGACAAACCAGAGTTACGGAGCGGAGCATAGTCGCATGGTAGGCGGCGAAAGCCACGGCGATCGAGCCACCGAGGGAAAAGCCAATGATGTGAAAGGCAGAAGTGCCAGTCCAGGATAGCGGGGAGGAAGAGAGGACCAGCAAAATTTGGGTGGTGTAGAGTCTTGCGTCAAAGACAAGGTCATTCGGCGCATCGGAGTAGCCCCGACCAAACAGATCTACAAGTGGATGTCAGTTACAGTCAAAGGGTGAAGAATGGATACAACCTACCAAATATCATGACCCTGTAGCCTTTGCAAACCAACTCTTTAGCCATATCACCCAACGCTATACAGGGTGTACCCAGGCCGTGCACCAGCATGACTTTTTCCCCATCCTCAGGGCCCCATTCGAACACATGGATTGTTCCATACACAGTCTTAAACTGCCGGCCTCCCGGGAAGGCATCGATGGGGTACACTCCTTTCGGGAATGTTTGTCCTCCTGGCACCGCCGGTCCAGTTCTCGCAGGAGTAAAGGTACGTTCTTCTGGCATGTGTTGGATGTCCTCGAGCGACGCACGGATCTGTCTGTACAAGAAGACAGGTAATGGTGCTGAAAGGACAGTTATGAGTAGTGCGAACTTGAAGTCCATGATCAACAATAAAAAACCCGCACACATGTAACTTCTGGCATTAAACCTGTGCGGTCTCGTATCATTCTATATATAAGCAACAGAAAGGCTCCTCCTCTTAGGGCGGCGATGTCGGAGAATGGCTGATTTTGATGCAGCTTAGCCCTTAGCTTGCCCTGCAATGGTCGGTCCTGGCATTTGATTGCCCGAAGCGGTAGCGCCGAGGGGTCCGAAGTCGTCTGTAATCACGGACTCCATAGCGGTTGATCATCCATGCCTTGTTTTTCGTCATTCAGTCGTGCTGAAGAGTCGAAGAGGGCAATTCTGTCAGCCGTTGTAGGAAGGAAAACGGTCACAGGACCCAGCATTCCCTCTAGGTTCATACTATATGATATCATCTATTCTAGTATTCGTGGAGATTCTGCTTGCCCTGCGTGGTATTACAATAAAGAGTTGTGCTAGCCATTCATTGAAAGGGCCGAACCTAAAGTGAATGGTTTAGTCTGGACATTTGATGCAAGGACAACGATGTGTCCAGATAGAGTAGTGTGAACAATTGATCAACCATATTTTGGACCCTAAGATCGCAGTAAGAAAGGTGAGCAGAAATATGCACTGCCTCCCAACCATTGTCAGCATGACATTTAACCATCTTTCTCCATGATTAGGAGTCTAGAAAGGAGAAGAGCCCCATTGAAGGAACAGTCTAATGATGTTAGGCATCGTATGGGTACCCTGGAATGCCTTATTCAATAAATGTAGGCTAATCCTACATTTGATATCGGATTCGAGCTCCGAAAGACTGCACAACTGGCATTGGGCCTAGGTACCATCGCTGGCTCAGTGGTTGGAGGATTATTTGGCCAACTACTTGGCGGTGGGTCTTCTATATCAATTTCCCGTTTTATGGAATCGGCCTCATTCGCTGATTATAGACCGTCCATTGACTAACAAACGTGTAAAACTGGAACGCAACTAGGCCAGCCTGTTGGACATATCCAACACATGTATCTATATGTACAGTTATATTCCCAGATAAAAGCACTTCCTCCGCAATGACTACCCTTCTATCGGATCGTCGTTAATTCCCGATTGCATCGTCCTGCGCTCGGCCGGCGTCAAAAGCTCGTCGCTCGCCTTAAAAGCTTCATACCGACGATGTCTCTGCAACGGCCGTCCATCCCCGAGCCCCAAAGTGCCCATCGGAAGAACCTCATCTCCATCCGGAATAGACACATCCCTCACAACACCTGGGATTTCATCCAATACCGGAATCTGATCCGGTGTCTAGGCCACCCGCAAAGGGAGCAGTTTATCGCCAATCGCGGCCCCGAAGCGCAGCATCGTGAAAGAGTCCAACCGTTCCGTCCACCGTGGATAACAATCCGCGTACAATGAGAGTCCTACCAACGGGATGATGTATAACCATCATTACCGAGCCGACGATTATCCCTGTGAGAGAGATGGTGGGAATATCCATCTCAGCTCCGAGATTCTGGTGTATCCACCACTAACCAGGCGCAGACTCGAGCATTTACTTGTTGAATAGGAAGGCTGCTGGTGTAAAGACCATGGGGAATCAGTCCTCACCTTTAAGGAAGTAGCCAAGCCATAGCCGGATGAAGCTGTCAGCATTGCCGCCCTCGTAGCGAAACCCCACGGGAGCATCTAGGCAGTATTATTGGGGAAAAGGGCTGTAGGACGCAGGCAGGATCAGGTTGAGAAGTGGGGGAACGTCGAGACAGACATCGCCTGCGAAGTTGGCCGTGAGTTTTGCAGCGAATGTATCTAGGAAAGAACCTGGACCAAACATTGCGAGTGCCGTCGTGAGAAGAGCGCCTTTGTTGACCGTTGAGATAGGCTCCCAGGACGCTGCGTCGAGGGTGTCGCTGGTGGTAATGCTTTTGCGACGGATCCTGTCGGTGCTTATATGAGTGTCATAGGTCTGGTAGTGACAGTCTGCACCGCAGAGGCTAACGGGATCTTTCTCCAGTAGTGGGCCGGGCTGGCCTTGATTAACGTAGTTTGGCAACTCGAAGTATCCGGCGGTGGTGTTGACCGTGATTCGGTACAGCTTGCCGCCAATCAGCGTGTCGCGGGAGTATCCCTGTGTGCTGGTGAAATTCAAATAGAGGGTTTCAGAGAAGTCCTGACGATCTTGCGTCTTCTGCCATGGTGATTTGGTCACGTTCGCAGGCATGCAAGCCGTGACTCACCAGCTCTCATGCCGTGCGTATACTGCGTACTCGTAATAGTACTTGGAGTAAAACGACCCAGGGACACTGTCACAGTTCGACGGAAATTCGCTGGCAGTGATACTCTCGTACGTGGCAGTGGAGTTCACGCGAGGCGCAAACTGTCGCAGTACACCCGTGCGGAATCCAGTCGGAAGCTGAGCGTAGAACAAGTCATTCAAGGATCAGATGTTATTCAAGGTAGGTAATTGAATCCCAGACATGTTTTGCCACAAAAACGGCTGGACGGTGATGGAGCTCGCATCACTGAGAGCTCTGCGAGCTGTCAAGATGTCATTGCCTACAAGCGAGGCAGCTGTGTCCCTGTATCTAAGAAGGGGAAGATCGGCTATTATAGCCACCCTGTCCATGGACTCAGCGACACGGATCATCTTTGTTTCAAGGAAGATTGACTGGATGGGATATGTCAATCCGGCAATCAGATGAAGGACAATGGCAACCAAGAATGACATCCCCCAGAGACAAGGGCCTTGTACAGGGTGATATCCAACCATCGACGGTCCGCCAGATTCGTGACCTAGCGCATTCGCAGGCTGTTGGCCGTCTTTTGATTCTGCACATAGATGACGGCTGCACTCGCGCATACGGCTGAAAGCCATTGTAGAGCGACAACGATGATAAGGGTCCTGATCACCACGGCAGAGCAATAAATTCGTTCATTCGGCACATAGCCCAATGATTTTGGATAGGAATAATGTTTTTGTATAAGTGCCCCCCACGACTTAGCGCTCATGGGACGAAAGGAAAGGTAGGCAATCGCAGCCCACGCATAGATTGCCAGCGCCGCTTACAGAAGCGTGGGCATCAAGACATGTGGCGAGCAATGAATCATTGCAGTGTATCCTCATCCAGGAACCTGGGTTGCTGGAGGCATACGCGAATATGCTGGCAGCTCCCCGTCGTGAGATGGGGCAGAGTCCCGGGAGAGGTCATTCTCGGAATACTCTAGTGCTTGGTGGCTGGGGCTAGATACTGTGCTCAGAGAGAGTCGCCGAAGAGCAACAGCACTATTAACTTCCATGGTGACGATGACCGCCCGCTTGCATGTTTATAGGGAGGATTGTGAGGGAAATGGGAGCAAAGATGATGAAGACTAGCCTTGTCCATCTCATTGGGGGACAGATTCAGCCTTCAGGGGAACTTAGGAAATCGGCCTTGTTTGACACATCCAAGAGACCTTAGCATGACTCGTTTAGAAGGCATTTGACCCTTATTCGTGGAGAAGATAGGCCACTAACAAAGCTAAACCCTTGGCGCTTGCCGGGGAGAGACATGTAGTTAGCGACTAGTGAGTGGATTTATCCATATTAGACCAATTATCAGGTAGGCGCTGTAATGTGCTTTAGTAGTAAACAGTGCCTTGAAAAGAGATAAGGTGGCTTTAATGTCAACAGAGACAGAGACAACTAGTATATTAATGCTATTTTCACATGGTTTCTATTCATCAAGCCGTCAAATATAGTTAGTCTCATTATCTCATATATCAACTGCCCTCTACTACAATCATCAATATAGTCAGTCATATTGCATCCGGGGAAACAAGTACTGTATATCAAGTCTAAAAACTATACCTTGCTGCTAGCCATTGATCAAATGCAGCCCAGCTTTGCTAGACCCTAATAACTATCCCTTTCAACCAATTGAGTAATCGTGATAGTAGCGTAGCCAGGCATTTGTATTAAATCAGCTGATTAAATAATATTGGCCTCCAGAGCCTCAACCCCACATTCTTGCAAACAAAACTTTTAATCCTTCCTTTGGCCCTCTGAGCGACATTCTTATTTTAACTGCAATGGTCCGGTACCAATACATACCCCTACCACCAATTAGCGAAAACGGCCAGAGTGCCGCATTAACTCGCGTTTTAACACTCTATCCTGGCACAGAGCAGGATCCACTATACTGTGCCCTTGACATTATTGATATTGAGCACTGTCCATCGTCTCCTAAAGCCCTGTCATATATATGGGGCAGCGAACGGGCGCCTGTGCCGCTCTACTGTGGTAATGGCCTACTTGCCGCATAACCCTGAACCTCAACGTCGCGCTTCGCCATCTACGTCTCCCTCATGCTCGTCGCAGACTCTGGGTCGATGCGGTATGCATTAACCAGGATGATCTGAGGGAGCAATAGCGTCAGGTCGGCTACATGAGGCTTATGTATAAGCATGCAGTTGCAGTCATCCCATGGCTTGGTCCTGGCATGCCCGAAACAAAGGAAGCCTTCAGTTTCACAAGAAGACTGTCCGAGTTGCAGAAGGATATGAATCAAAACGCGACAAGTGCGTCCGACGGGAGAACACTCTACTCAATGAAGACTAAGGCCAGCAGCATCCTGTTAGAGTCGCTCAGTGCAGAGCCACAGGCAACGGATGCACTGACTTGCCTTTTGGCAGGGCAGTACTTTGAGCGCGTGTGGTGTATACAGGAGGCTGTCGCCTCGCAACGCTGCATTGCAAAATGCGGGCAGCACAAGATGGGTTCCTTTGATTTGATGTCGCTGATGACCTATGTCTGTAACTTCCGCGGGGCTATTATGGATGCACAGGGCCTGGATTATCCAGATGGTACGGTGTCTTTCTGGAGTACCTTTGTGTCCGCCAGACGGGAAGTACTGGTGTCGAGTACACAGCAATACGTGGAAGGATCTAGCGGCCGCAATTTACTTGCAGGCATCCGCAACTTCAAGTGCACCGATCCCTGCGATCGGATCCTCGCTCTCCTCGGGGTCTCGGATGAAGGATTGCAGCCTGTTCTGGCACTGACCCAAGTCGAGGGTGTACATAACTCACGGGTCTTGTCGCTCTTTCAGCGCGGGGCCATATGGCTCTCTGAGAAGATGAACTCACTGAGACCAAATATCAACTTCCTCAGGCCTGCTGCCTTGAGACCAAACTTTTCCAGGCCTGTCCAGGAAGTGTATCGAGACTTTACAAGGTTCAGCGTGCGCCAGCAGCCACGAAAGCTGGACATTTTATCACTCATACAGCATACTACATATCCGCTACAGGACTATTGGCCATCCTGGGTTCCTAAGCTGCATAAGGAACGCTCAGTATCACTGTTAGCACCTGGTCTGTATCTTGCTGGCATTCCAATGCATGGCCACTATCGGTATTTCGCGGAGCTTCACAATTCTCCCCTCAATGGCAGATCAGTCGAGCCAGATGTGCTCTAACTGGACGGTTATCGCGTTGATCTGGTTGACACCGTGAGCGACCTTATTCACTCCAAGTACACGGAAAAGCCGCCAATAGAAGCGATATCGTCTCAGCTCTTCAAGTTTCCGTTGTTTCCGCGTCCAGGCTTCCAGTGGAGGAACCAACCCAAAGGCATTCGTGTCGGCCCAGGTGATTCAAAACATCCCCGGTGTGGCCGGGTTCTCGACCTCCAGCACTATAGACTACGAGGTCAAAGGCCAGACGCCTAAAGGGATGAAGTGCACTGGAACAATCAGTGCCGCCAAGAATGTCTGCATTGTGCGCGTCAGGAACACTGCCATCTCTGGGCCGTTTGGCGGCTCTGCTGCATTTACGCAGTGAGGGGCGGTAACTTGCAAACAGTTGGCCATGTGCTCTGGTGTGCGTCGGTGATTTGATTTATCATGATTCTTTAGCCTCTAATCAATGTACACTGCGGTTAAATATTAATAGAAGTGGACCCTTAATCAAATAGTATAGAGATTCTTACAGCTAAACAAATACTATATATACTCCACCTGCAGAACTAATCCGTTGAATAGGCCTTCCTGAAGGTCTGTCCTGAGCTTGTCCACTGGAGGCAAAATACCCTCCTTCTCAAGAACCCTGAACATATCCTCCAGCTCTCATCCCAATGGCCGCGTCTTGCTCATTATGGCAACACAGCTCCAGTCCCTTCACGGTACAAAAGTGAGGAAAACCCACTTGGCCCCCGTCGTTTGCAACTGCCTCTCCTACCACTTCAACCTCCTCCTTTGCTGTATACTTGATTTCCCGTAAATCCATTCAACATGAGTTGGGGTTTAGTATCGGGGATTTTGTTACCGTCATCAAAGTGGCAACACAGATCCGAAAGGAATTTGTCAAGGCGCCTGGCCGGATTAAGGGTATCTCTGATGAGTAGGTGGGTAGAGCCACTTTAGTTTCGTCTCATTGCTGATGATTCGGTACCTCCATGCAGCTAGGAACTTAGCACTTGTGATACCCATCCATGCCTTGATAGGCAGATTGATCACGCTAAACCGAAATCAGTCATCCCTCCGAAAATCGATAGTCATCATCCGAATGCAAGACAGCCACTAACAGCAGGGCGCTTATATAGAGGCTTATTCGACTACTGGTACTTCTAGGGAACAGAATGTGATCTTTCTGGGAAAATAGTCTTAGATATGGTTTTTGGAACCTTGTACACGTTTCCCGTAAGTACAGCTGCCAATTGTCGCGCACGTTTCCCAATATATCTATTACACGTACATAGTACTGACAATCCAACTCCCCTAGGGCGATCACTGCCGAAGCATAGCCATCAAGGCTGTCGCCAAGGCTAATGGTCTCGACCTCGATATTCGCGAGACCCCCAGAACTCCCGAGCATTTGAGTGTCAGCAAGCTCGGCAAGGTCCCTGCCTTTGAAGGTGCGGATGGCTTCAAGGTCTTTGAGTGCATGGCCATTGCTCTCTACAGTTAGTCAACTCATGTTGCTGGTACAGTGTTGGTACAATCCAGAACTGACGACACCCGCTCAGTCACTTCTCAAAACGAACAGACCACTCTCCTCGGAGGGAACAAGAAGGAATACGCGGACATCATCAAGTGGATGTCTTTTTTCAACAGCGAGATCCTCATTCTTATGACTCAACAATTACTGCCCCAACTTGGTGTCATCCCCTACGACAAAGACCAGGTGGAATTGTTCACCAACATGACCCAAAGATGCGTTAACGTAGTCGAGGAGTATTTGCAAGACCGTACGTTCCTTGTTGGCGAGCAGCTGTCACTTGCTGATCTGTTCTGTGCCGCAAACATTTCTCTTGGCTTCCAATTCTTCTACGGCAAAGCATGGAGGCAACAGAACCCCAACGTGTCTCGCTGGTATGAGATGGTTTGCCATCAGCCCATTTATGCGGCCGTGACCGACAAGTTTCAGCTCCTGGGGGAGCCCAAGCTGACAAACAATCCGCCTCAAAAGAAGCTTGAGACAGGCTCCGAGAGTGTTGCTGCAGTTGCTTGAAGCTATGCAGACTATGCAGACTATGCCCCGTCTGGCGTCAATATAAACGAAAACAATACTTCTGCAAGGCACTTAAGGGAATCAATATATCGGGGAGATGGATGCTATGTTTGTTCTGGGGCAGATTTCTTCTATCAAATATCCTTCCAGTCCATTCCAAATGAAAATATTCAGACAAACTGCTCCTGGTGCAGCAGCATGTAAAACTCATGGTCGAGACTCCTTGCAGGGGTACGAGAACTCCCGGCGGGACCGTGTGAAGGAGATCTACCGCGTGAGCTGGGTGTTAACGCGATTGCAAGCGTATGACGGGTGGTTGAGCTATATCGCCCAAAGATGGGTGTTGCCAATCATCGGGTTAGATTTCGTGGCGAAGAATGTTGCGCAGACGTGTAGTGAAGCTCCAAAGCCGGAGTATGTCTCCTTCGATGAGGATAGGTGAAGTTTGGGGTGGAAAACTAGTAAATCGGCGGCCAAGCGCAGCGAAATGCTTACAGCCCAGGAGTCGCAGCTGGTTCTGTATTTTCCCTTGCTGTTTGGTGCCTTGGTGATGTTTTCTCCTGCGGCGTTTGTCTTTATGGCATGATTTCAGCAATCAACTCTTCCATAAAATATTGCGCTCATGAAACTAGGTACAGCGTAGGTAGAATATGCTTTACCAAGACCTCTACAGGGCATAAACCAATCCCTCTTCAGGGCGCACTGCACCATTTGACAGTCGTTCCCATCCCCCATAGATTCCATTCTCTCCAGCAATGCCCTGTCCCCTGACTAAATGCATGTCTGGGATGGCGGAGTCACGGTCCGCTAACCAAACCTTCCACCTGCGCGAGATCTTTCCGAAATATGTTGCAGCCCCCTCCCGGTCGATGAGTGTGTCCTGAACGCCAGAGGTGTTGTACTGGATCTTCCCCATTGATTGCATAGCTGCACGAGCTGCCTGAACTTCCTCCGTCGTATACACCTGAAGAAGTAGTCAGAGACAGACATGAGATGAAGAAGTATAGACAGAGCCCAACCTTTTGTTGACTGCCCAACTGCACAATGACAGTTTTGCATGACTGCAGCGCCGACACTTGAAGGCTTTTGCATAACTGACTGAGGGCATGGTCCCGTGCCCCGCAGTCTATAATTACCACCTTTGATGGCCGTCGACCCTCAATCCACCTGGTAGCTTGGTGGATCTCTGTATATGCCAAAGACTTGGACACATCCCCCCAGCCTTTTTTGGCCGCTACCTCTTGCAAAGCAGCAGGCGATGAAGTAACCTGGACCAATCCCAGGGGACCACTTTCCCTGGGCCGATTAAAAAGACACCATGAAATGGATCGAGCAGTCTTGGTTGAGGCAGCCAAAACCACTACAACAGCAGACGAGAGATCCGCGTCTCCCGCAGACCAGGGAAGTTTACTAGCAGCGCCAAGTGGGTGGACTGGTACTCGTGCTCGCGGGCCAGGAGAAAACACGTACTCGCTCAGCAGGTATCCGGTGATCCAGACCCCTCGGAGGAGGGCACCCCACGCCATCTCATCCAGCCCTTCCTCCTCGGGAAGAATTTGTTCGTAGCGATTGTATATGGGCATCAGCTGTTGTCTATGGCTGCTGACCTCCACCCAGTGACCTTGAAGATCACTGGGTTCTAAGCGCAAGAGAGTGGGCGACGTTGAAGTCGGCCAGTATCCCCAGATGACAGAATCTGGCGCGATCCCAGGAACACTACTCTCGGTGACGGTGGCATATCCCCAAGCCGGAACAATACCCCAGGAAGCCTGATCGTTGTATGGGGGCGGGGCGGTATGTGGAACCGGATACGTTTCCCACCTGGTGGCTGTCAGCAACCACGAAAGCTAACCCTAAAACCGGCGTACCAATGCAGTAAATCCCCTCCACGGGCGTAGCTGAGGTTGTTGGAAGTCAACCCAAGAAGTATAGGTCGCGCACGGAGCGCCGAGACAGGCAGCTCTTCATCCAGTGACGAATCAAGGTTCACCACGGCATGTTGGCGGTTGTCAGCTTTGTAGACAACGTGGATTGTCTCTGAGTTTGTAGCAGGGGCCCCCATTCCGAATGAGGAATTGGGTGACTCTGAACCTAAGAAATAGTGAGACGGTAGTGTTTGTAGGAGTGAGTGACTGAAAAGTAGCTGGCCTCTTGTTCTCTGCAAAATCTTTCCTTTGTCTGACCCTGCCCCTCAGCCCGTTCCCCTCCTTTGGTTGCTTGAAGCGCGGCCGATGATCTCCGTAGTTGCAGTAGCGGAGTGAGAATGTTTCAGATTTGCAGCATATCAGATTTTAGTCCGTCTGGGCGCAAATTCACGGAGCCTTCTTATCAGTAACTGCCTGCACATGTGACACGGGGATCATGTACTGTGTAGTGAAGGGTCTGCACTGGAGTCTGGAGCAACATCTTATACCTACTATTTTTGGTACATCTGTCTAGTCTACTATATGCAGGTCTTCAGTTCAAGCCTATGATCGTTTTCTATCCTCTTGACGCAACAGACTTCCAAACCCTAATTACTAGCTTATAGAATCTTCCTCTAGTAGTAAGATTTTATATAGAGCTGTCATATAATAGATTAGCCTTAATATCTACTAGTATATGGCCTTAGTGCCTTGCCTGGCTTATTCAGCAGAACTATTCTCTGGCACTGTTCATAATAATAGCATTTGTATTGACTAGTGATGTAACAGGGGCTCACACCCTCAAGGTGTTTGTCCTCCTTCCAATATCTAACTCTGACGGGTGATGGTTAGGGCTGAGGGTATCGCATTGATGTGTCCGGTGGAAACCTGATATTTTCAACTTCCTGCAACATCAGCTCCAAGGCACCAATCACCTGCGCATAAGTAAACAGATCCACATGCTCATTATGCGCCTGCACAAAAGGCTCCGCTGCGCGATTAATCGCATCCCTAGCCCAGTTTTGGATCCGTTCTTGAGTGGTAGCAAGATAGTCGGTCAGCCACTCATCCCACCAAGCGGCGAAGTTAGGTATCCTGGCATCCCGTTCGATATAAGTCGCCTGGAGATGGATCTGCTGGCGCACAGCATTGAAGCGAACCGACACCTGCGGATCGTTGAGGTAATCGAACACAGCAAAGGCCTGAGAAGAGTCAGTCAATCAACGCTGAGCAGGTTATCGAATGGAGAGGACGCATTGGTGTGGTTGGAAGGCTTGCCCACTTACTACTCGAATCGACTGTAAGAGAGTATCAACATCGCCCTGCGAATCGCTCGTAACTGCTGTTGTCGCCAGCGTGTCGACCCTAGTCAGGGCGCAAGGCACATTTCCTTTCATAATGCGGCCCTTGGCCCCGTTGATGTCCCTGCCCACTCCTATGAAGGGGTACGGGTAGTTGTCCGACCCGAATGCCTCCATAAAGCGATCGTTCGGCGTATTCGGTCGGATTCCATTGGGTCCCCCAACCTGGGCTTCGTTTGCCAGGGCATCATTATCTGCTAACCAGACAGCTCTGAGAAGCTCGGGAGCAATTCTAGGCAGTGACGATTCATCCCCGGACGGGAGGACTCCAGTAACAGTTGAATCGAGAAAATACACTGCGAGTTGTCGATCAATCGGATGCTCTGCTTCCAAGTCTGACAAGGCTGAGGCAGGAACTTGGTTGCCATTTGGAAAAGTCCCGGAATTGATAGAGGGACCGACACAATATCCTGGGATGAGGCGGAACCACCGTCGCAGGATATGGTAGAGTTCCGGATACTCGTTATACAACGCACGGAGGGCCGGATATGCCCAAGCTATGACCCTGACTCCGGTAATATGCTTTGGATAGTATATCTCAGCATTGCCGCGTTTTTCGAGCGACTGGGCTTTGTCGCTTCTTCCAAGGGGTGTCAAGTCCCGCTTGGTCTAGTCGTTTGCACCTTCATCATTATCGCCAGCGGAACAGTAGCCCGGAAACTTCTTACACAGATCAGTGCTGCAGGTGGCTGGCTTAGGTGGCGCTGTCTTAATCGTACAACACATGGCCTTTTGTCGACCCCCTAGTATCATCAAGTCCAAGTTAGCACACTGACATCCGTTGTCTCTTCCAGCCAGTCTCTTTGCTCAGGCCTCATTGATCAGGTCGAGTTGTCTGAACGTACAATCACAACCTTTGGACTTATCTCCATACGTTGCCCTGTCAACCTCAACCTCAGTCGCATTGCAGTTGGCATTGGCGCAGTCTCCACCCCCGCTGCCGCTTTCCCAGTGGCATCCTGTCAGTTCGACTGGATCGGGACAACAGTAACTCTGACCGCCGAACCAGCAATTATCGTAATTTTTGAAAGCCTCGGACGTGCCAGACGGACAGGAGGCTCGACTATGGGTTGTCCAAATCATGTTAGATATCTCGTGTCTCAACCATCCGAAAGAAGACGTACCATTTTGCATAAGAGCATCCTTTAGTCACAGATGCGTAGTCAGGATCTGGGCAACAAAACACCTTCCAACCTCTACCACATTTATCAGTGTCACCGTCGTTCAGAAACCCGCCCCCCCCACGAAGATCGGATGCCTTTGATATTGATTTCACCTGGCCTACACTGGGCACTGCAGTCGCTCCCGGCGCCGCCGCCGTTGTCGTCGCCGCGCCATATACAGGACTTTGGAGCGCTATTCGTGGGGCAGCACACAGGCTTTCCACAATGCTGTTTGGAGTCCAGTCAGCCATGGAAAGACCCTCGGTTTGCAAACGGCGCTTACACAGTTCTTCTTGCCGCAGCCGGCATCATCCCAGCCGACGACGGTGTTGCCCGATCCACAAGCATCGGACATGGCCTTATTATCGTTAAGATTAATGCACTTGCCGCTGTACACAAAGCATTTCTGACCATTCGAACCCGCGAGGTCCTCGACGACAGCCACTGGATTTGAGAGCGCCTTGTTTACAGCTTGGAGAGATGGATTCGACTGAATTGTCTTGCCAGTTAAGGCTCCATGAGCCGTGTACTTGTCCGTGTCTAGCCCTCTAGTCAGCAAAATGGACTTCTAGGACAGTGCAGACAACCAAACCAAGGTCTGACGCCCAAATCATCCCTCCACCGAGACCAACGCTGTCGGCCCAGTCGACTTTTTGTTTGAAAGTCGTCGCATCGTCATAAGAGACCCACTGGTTTTTATCAAACGTAAAGTAGTTGACTGCCGCTGCTTGATCATGCGTAGGGCTGATAGTGGCTCTCTTTGACGAGCTTGTAGACCCGTCTAGTGCGGCTATGATCTCGTAGTAGGCCAAAATCCCCCCAGTGTCCGAACAAGGGCCCGGTTTTGATGCGCCACTGAAGGGGCAGCCTGGATCAGTACAGGCAGGATCGGAGAGAGTGAACGACCGGCCGTAGAAGCCGAATCCCATGACGAGCTTAGATGGCGGGATATTAACGCGCCAGAATAGGTCAGTCGCCAATTTGATTTCGGTTAAGTTTGTATGAGCCTGGACGATGCTTCCAATTGGATTAGTAGCATCCCATGCGCCGTGAAGATCGTAGCTCATAAGATTCACCCAATCTGCATATTTGATCATGTTTGGCAGGTCGAACCAGCGCAGGTACCAATATGAGGATGGTGCCGTGAAAGTAAGGCCAAAGGCACTTCCGCTGGAGTCAAATGTCTCTCGCATGGCCTTAAGAAGCAGGACATAGTTTTCTGTATCCTCGGGGTTACCGCGTCTATCGGGAGCACCAGGGTACTCCCAGTCAATATCAACGCCATCGAACCCTGTTCTCGTGGTTAGGCCGTGTGGTTTTGGAAGACGAGGGGCACCGCTGTTTTTCCTCTCTCACTTACCATACTGCTTCATGAAATGCACAACATTATCGGCGAAAGTTTGCCGTTTCGTAGCATCTGCTGCGATCTCACCAAATAGCGGCTGCGTTGAAGTGTCATTGTCCGAGAATGTCCTATGATATAGTTGAACTTGGAACTGACGGCTCATTTGATAGGGAGTCTTTTCACTTACCACCCACCGATACTAACAAAGACTTTGATATCCTGCTTGATTGATTTGAGGTTTGTAGTGTCTTGGAACAAGGATGCAGGGGTCGATCCGTCCATTGTCACCACTTGATATGTGCTTGGTTCGATGTACGCAAAAGCAAAATTCACACTGAGAGATCAATAAGTCACCGTTGAAATCCCGGCTCTGCCGTTGGAAATGGGGCATAAATACTGCGTCAATGCGTCTAATGGTAAATCAGTCGGGGCCACCTTGTGGCATGACTTGCGAGCAGACCACGATTCATAATACCCGATCATCTTGTTCTGACGGATACCAACCGAAGCGCCGCCAACTGGAGGTTTTGGGTTCAAAACGCAGTTGCTCTGGCAATTTTCTGTTGCGCGTCAATAAAGTCCAGCTACATAAGTAAACATCCCCAGCAGGCGTTACATACCCCCACAGAAGTCCTCTGTTGTGCCACACTAGAAGACTATATCAGCTTCATGTTCAGACTGGTATCATTTCACCGGTGTTATGAGCCACTAACAAATCCGTACTGGCTGCAGCAAACATTGAGAGGACATCCCTTTCCTGGGGTTTCTGCGAACTGGCCACACTCAGCCTTTGCATTACAGTTCGACACACATCCGTCGCCGCAGTACGTCGGGCCATATCCGCAATAGCCACTTTTACCACAGCATGCCCCGTTGTTACATGGATTGCCCGGGCTACATTGATAACTGTCTCGCGGTCTCAAAGTGGTGTTCCCTGCAAGATTGGTTCCTTCCTCAAAGAAGTTATCAGACCGACCGGTTACCTTGGCGATGGGGGGTTTGGATCGACCTGTCCAAGAATAGGCCAAGATCAGAAATAGGATTGAAAAGAGAGCCCATATCTTGCTTCTAGGCGAGAGCTTCCTAGGATGGTCGTTACCAGTCATGACCAGCGGAATTTTGCGGGGGTGGTTCTTTGAGATTGTATGAGAGAGTGAACAGAAGTATCGACAAGGCAATGTTGGACACTAGCTTTCTCAACTTCATATCTTGGATTGCAAGGCTAGTATATACATGTCCCCTCCCCAGTGGACTGGCGGTTTGTAAGCCCTGCTCAACCCCGCCCCTGTTAGCGTTCTGCTGGTTCAAATTGAGAAGAGCCGGGGGCTGTATCTGTCACAATCAGGAAGACGACTGACCAGACGGGCGTTCAGGGAATTTCTTGACAGTGATTCCTGCCTATCACGGTATGCCTGCGTGGATCAATATCAATTATGACTTCAGTCAACCTCCTCGGATGACATCCTGGACGGGCACCAGGACTAGGTGTCGGCCATGTTTCTGCATTGGGGAAGTAATCGCAAAAGGCTGTACATCTGATCCAGACGAAGGATCACGAGGTAGTATGAGGGTTGCAGAAAACTTGTATGCATCCCTGCATGAAGCAATCACTATTCTGCGACATTTGTTGGCTTACCTCCTCTCAGGAACTCATCCTCGCTCGCCATCCCTGCACAGCTACATTACATCTCAGCGGCAACTATCTTGAGCCAACATCAATCCCTGAAGCCGTGTTTGCCGGTCGTCTGACCATGACAGGGCATGGTCCTGGCAGAGACGGGATTCAAAGGAGGTCATGGGTTCGAGATCAACACAACCCCATTCGAATGACTCAATATGAACGTAGGATAAGCAATGCAATACCGGTCCGAATGGTCATCTCCAACCTAGCGGGACATTACTTCAACACCCGGCCATGTCCCGCCTCGAACAAGCCCCAATGCATGCACGAAGAGGAGGCTAAGATTTCTGGGCATAAGCAGTCTTGCATTAGCCCTAGCTCGCCCGTTTAGGCTCTGCTACTAGCCTTAGTCGTGAGAATTGCGCGTTAAGTATATGTGAACAGAGTCCCCCACTATCCCACATCGGTAACGCTCACATAGGATCAAAAGCCGTCCAGAATACGTACAATCAGTCAACGACAGCCATATCGGCAATAGATCAACTTCCACAATGGCGACCTTGCAAACCAGTACTCTTTTCGTGGTGCTCGGAATGCTTCCTTTGAGACATTCATGGGGACAGCAGCCTTCTGGGGCAGAGACGTTCATGAATTATCCTGGCCTTAGCACTGCGTGTCTAGGTGCCTTGGAGACAAATGTTACATGTCCGCCATTTTTGGGTCCGGTTTCTGCAAGGTAAGCACATTCATGCTCCTCTGGTAATACTCGCCGCTGACACTCGACGCAGTGGAGAGATTTTGGATTCCGATCAGGTCACTGAGCTTTGCGTCGATTCCTGCTATTCTTCCCTGGAAGCCGCCAGAAATACTATCAAAGGTGCTTGCACGGCCGCCACCGATATCATTGTATATGAGAACATCGCATATCCAGGTAGAGACATCCATTTCTTGCGCGAACCTTAGACTTGAAACACATGTACTTATGGCGATGGCGCCAGCGACATTTATCGTTGACAATTATCTGCATACGTATAACCTTTCATGCAGAACCGACAGGTCAGTGTTCATATCAGCCAGACGTTCCTTGATTTCTCCAGTTGATTTGATTCCGTAGGCGGACTGGTGAATTCTGCGACCCGCAAATCCTCTCGTGGTCTACTCAGCCGTACCTCAACACTACCCAAGCTTGTTCAGATTGCTAGCTTGGGGACCGGGCTATTCAGTTGAGTAATCCGCTGGGTTATGATGCTGACCTCGCGAGCGACTTCGCCGTGCTAGTGTCCAGTTGCAGCGCTACCGGTAGTTATACAACCACGTCTCCCACTCAATATGCTCTCAACTCTAGTGTCTCTGCGACTGCAACTGCGACCTCAACTCCACCAGCAACATGCACCGGCTCTTATACAGTGCAGAGCACAGATGACTGCAACTCCGTGGCTCTTTCGCACAATGTTTCGACCTATAATCTTCTATATGCCAATGGTCTGGATCTGTACTGTCAAAACTTTGCCGCCGCTGTTAACTCCCCCCTTTGCATACCGCCGCAATGCAATACATATATTTGGCAGGCATCGGACACGTGTGATAGCGTTGCTAGAAGTATCATCGGAGTCACTGTCCCGCAGTTTCTCTCATGGAACCCTAACTTCAACTCGCTCTGCCAGAACAGCCCCAATTATATCGGATATGTGGTCTGTGTGAGGTATGTCCCGTCCACCCTCCCTTCATAGATCGTTGCCTTGCAAAGAATTAACAGTTCCATCAGCCCACCAGGTGGTTATTTAAACTCTACAGCGTCACCAACAAACGGTTCGACCGGATACACGGGCGGCGCGACGGCTGCCGTGCCTGCGCCGACAAATGCGATGACTGGATCCAACAGAAATTGCGGCCAATGGTATACTGTAAGCTTCACAGCTTTCTTTTCGTAACATATCTATAGCACTACCTCCCCGGGACCACCAAGTAACATAGGTGTTTAGGTCGAGGAAGGAGATGATTGCGCACTTCTTTCCGTTCGATTCTCACTTGCGCTCTCTGACTTCTATTTTCTGAATTCCGAAATCGACGTAAACTGCACAAATCTGGAGCTTGGTGAGGCTTATTGTGTAGCACCGGTGGGAACTCTGACTACGTACTCTGGCTATCCAGTCACAACGCCGTTTATTGTGGTCACAAGCGCTACCTTCCCCTCGGTTAACACCGCAATTCCCACCGTTAGCAGTCACCCGGGATACGTTGCGACCACCTCACTGCTTCCAACGGCGTCTGGCACTGTAAATGGTTGCACGACATACCGAAACTACGATGGCACAAATGGCCTGAACGACTGCTCCTATATCGCAGCCGCAGAGGGCGTTACCACAGATGAACTCCTCGCTTGGAACCCTAGTCTTTCCACCACCAATTGCGTTTTTCACTCTGGACACAGCTATTGCGTTTACCGGACTAATGCCGCTTGTGAGTTGATCTGGTACCCAGGCACAGTGAAGGGCACAGAACAAGATACTAAACCTGGGCACAGCGGACACCAGCGACACTAGCTACTGTTTGCCCACAAATGCTACGGAGCCCGGAACAATATCAACCTGCAACTGCTTTACCGAAGTCATTGGATATCAGAATAGCAGTGGTGAGTTATCGCTTCCTGCTGACAGCATGTGTGCCGTTTCCTTTTCCCAATATTGACTCTGGCTTGCAGGCTACAGTTGTGTCGACATCGAGACCGGCTTCGGCCTGACAGCTACGCAGCTACTGGCATGGAATAGCTGGATGGGTTCTGACTGTAACTCCGCACTGTTCAAGGGCCTAGGGTATTACGATGTCCGTGCCATCTGTGTAGGTGTGGGACCTACCACCACCAGTTCACCCACGACAACTACAGCAACGACCACAACCTCGTCGGTCGCAGCACCTACCCAGACTGGAATTGTCGCAGACTGTAAAGAATTCTATACAGTGAATCCTGGGGATACCTGTGCATCGATTGAAGCCCAGTTCGGCATCACCTTTGGCGAATTCTACTCGTGGAACCCAAGCAGTAAGCCCTTCCCCCCTTCCCAGAGTCGAGTTTCTCGATACCGGCTTACACGTTAATCACAGTCGGCGCCGGATGTACGAACCTATGGTTGGGGTATGCGTATTGTGTGAAGGGCCCTCAAAGCACCGCCACAGCTACTGGGCCGGGCGGCCCGGTGCAAACTGGCATCGCATCTAATTGCAACGCATATTACACAGTTGCGCAGGGAGACTCATGTGCCGCTATTGAGTCGAGATATGATATTACCTTTGCCCAGATGTACCAGTGGAACCCAGCTATTGGATCTAATTGTGGGAATCTGTGGATTGGGTACGCTATTTGTGTCGGCGTTTCCTCATAGGTTTGCGCTAGGGGTATTGGATGGTCAGCAGCCAGCGCGCAGGGGTAGGATTCGATTTCTCCCTAGTTGAGAGAAAGTTGAGAGGAAAGAATAAGTCATATAGGTAGTTAATCAACCTCATGGTTGTCTTTCTGAGCCCCCGGGGGGGTTGGATTGCCATATGGTCTTCGCATGACGGAGTGTGAGCGTCGTGATTCCCAATACTTCGAGGGAGCATTGGAAGCGATGCTGTGGCGGTGATGGCATTTTTGAGCCATTCTGCATGGGAACGGGAGGAGGTTGTTGCAAAGACTACTTCATTCGTGGATGCAGCCCTTGAGTCGATAGACATGCCGAGTGAATGGACCAGATCTATTAACAATAAAATAAAGGAGCTACTTTGCTCTTGTTGGGGTGCCTACTATAAGTATCAGATGGTGGCTACTTGCGAATCCTCATAGCCCTTCAGCAAGAATATTTAATGCAACTCCGCATCGTATGAGTTTCCTGGAATGAAAAACCTTGGGAACGGTCCACCTTGATCGGACTACTATACATCATGACTACAAAATTGAAGTGAACTGGCTCTTTATCGTCTGAGCGAATGCTGCGACTCGATATCTTTCAGGATTCGTTCACACTGCAGCCAGATACGCCGGCGGTTTTTGAGAGCGAGGTAGTCCAAAGAATCGCTATCATATCCCGCCACTGCGGACGCGTCCTTGAGCCGACGAAGGAGTTTATTCCATTGAACTTTGCTTCTCTGTTGCACCTGGGACAGCACTATGTCCGCACACCAAGGCACGTCGAAGAATAGTCGAGATTCCCAGAAACTGCGCGGCAGATTCTTAGCGCACTGTCTGAAGTGAGAACTCGCTAAGAATAGATCCAGCACAGACTGGGTAGGAAGAATCTCTAGTATGCGGAATCGCAACTCGGACGGAATTAGCGATAGATCATCTGACTTCCTCGAGTCCGAATGATGCGGGTTCATCCTGTCCTGGTTGAAAGTGAACGTAAAACTGGATTCAGATTCGGTCGACGGCTCGGCGATCAATGGCCGGAGATCAAATGGCCCCCTAGGGTCCATCACGGTCCACTTGAGATTTGGTTAGTCTCCTCTATCGCTGGGAGATGGTTTCGCAAACCTCGGAATCTTCCCATGGAACCCAACCCTCAAACTCAAAACGAGGCCCCTCACTAAATGTATCACCATATCCCCAATCGAAAGAGTCACGGTTGCGATCCTCCAAGCCCAGTTCCATAACTGAGACGAAATTCCGTAGATCTATCGGTCGCATGGCTGGGTTTGTATCACGACATACACGCTTGAAAATTTCCAAGCATGCATCGTGAACCAAAAACCCATCCTTATTGCATTCTAGGATGTTCGACCTTGGATCTTCGCCGTACGGGCGGGGATAGAAGAAGTGGCCGGACTGTGGATCAACGTGTTGCCCCTATATATTAAGTTATTAGTTGCGTGCGCCATACGAATGCAAGTCGAACAACGTACAAGAGGCGATACTATGGGCAAGTCCGCCGAATCGTTTTCGGTGAAGAGCTCAGCCTCTGGAATTCGATGGGCTACCAGGCGAACATCACCAAGCCACTTGTTGCCGCGTGTCAGTAATGGCCTCTAGCGATCACGGGTGACTGTACCTTGATGTCTTTCAAGGAGATATCTCTCGCATCATATCCCAACATGGCATTGCAGAAGCTCGAATGTCCATCCTGGTCACCAATCTTAGCTTGTACTAGAGTACTCGACTGCCATTCTTGCAGTGCCTAATCCAGTGCATACTTGCTCCTGTTGCCCTCCACAATTGCAGTAATCATCGTATGCCTCATGCTCGCCAAGTTGGTTCTCTTGGTCAAGATACTGGAGTGAGGACCGTTTAATGAGGTTTTTGTATGTTGGAGGACCCCCACATATATTGCAGAACAAGTTCGCGGCCTCGTCCATGATTGTTGAACCACGTTTGATGTCGAGGCACAGTATCGATCAAGGGGCGGGGAAATGGAGGTGAACGACAAGGATCTCGCCGTCCAGGTCTCCCTACGAAGGCTAACTAATTACTTAATCATGAGCTCAGCTACGTTGAAGATATTGAAGATTGAAGAATTCAGGTCCTTCGCATTGATTCATCATCCCTGATAATTACTAGCGCACACATATCTAACAGAACCCACCAGCGCATAGTTTTGAAACGTCAGACAAGATATCCCATACATAGGGATAACAGTCATAGTAGTGAGCATCTTCACCTCCCCCGTTGCATCTTCCAATTTACAACCCTTGGTACTGCGCCTAGATACGAGATCCGTCCTTGTCATCGTGAGATGCTCTAACCGTCTCCAGAGCCATCGCACTCAGGTCTCGAATTGACATCTGCCCAATATTAATCGACCTGGTAGGGTGACCTTGGCTGGTCCGCCACCGGGCAAAGGCGTCCTGAAACGCCGAAACCGCAGCATAATGCGAGTCCCCAATGTTACCCACTAACCCTGTGATTGACAAGAATACAAGGAAGAAATCCAGGGGCTGGTCTTTCAGGTTGTCCTGAAGGAGGACCGTTCCTGAGTTTGGGAGCCACAGCCGCTGTAAACTCGTCGTACGTCATGTTATCAAACAGTCAACACTCTAAGATTTGGTAAGTATGGACTCTGTAATTATGGCTCAAAGGGGTGTTTTACCTTCAATCGGAGAGCAGCTTGGATGACCCCACGTATAGGTGGCATTTCCTGTCTACAGAGGTCCAGGGCAGACCACAGCTGTTTTGCATTTGCAGTATCACACGGGACAGCCATCACACGTGTGCTCTTTTCAGCAAGGTCCCTGATCAGGGCTTTTGTTGAAGGCTTGTCTGCGCCAGAAGGAGAGAGGATGAGGCTGTTAGCTGCGCCATTCTGCGCCATCTGCCCCTACATCATTGGCATCGTCCATCAATCGCTACTACAGAGATGTTGTAATATGATTGACAGCATTAGACCTGACCAGCTATTGGAGGGTGCTGAGAAATTAACTGGCGGATATCGGCTGGTGTCAATTGTCATTCCATTACAGAGGTGACGCCTCTTATTCGAGTCCTTTACCCTGGTTATTTCTAGATACTCCGCGAGACATCCGGACAGGGGGTATATCTTACCTCTAGTGAAATGACTAGTAGTTATATTCAACTAACATATTGCAGTTAATCCTGTACACCCCGTCCGTAGAATGAACAATATAAGATATGTTGGCTGTCGTCTACGTGCCCGTGCTTCTAGTTCTGCCATAGTAGATAATTAGATAGCTTTATTCAACAGACCTTCTTCCACTATTGTAAGAATGCTGGCTGGATACTAACAAACCAAAGGGCCCAAAGACCAACATTACCGCGAGTTGCCAGGCAACTTGTGAATCCAGACCCATATAGTAGCAGACTGGGTAGCTAAAACATCTCTCTCTTAGAGATCCATTCAACTATCATGAGATAGCTTCAAGTATGCGGTGTGGTGTCAAGACAGTCACTCTCTTGATCCGCAGTTACATGATGTTCCTATTTCAGAGGAAGGAGAGACATTATGGGAGACATCCACGTGGTTCTGATCATGAGTGAGTCTCGCCCATGTGGTTATGTAGTCTGTAGGTTTAGTCCCACATGGTTAGTATAAGCGAATTGAATTGAATAATGGGAAACTGGTAATTGAGCTAGGCGGATAGCAGATGGATTAATATAAGGATATGACTCTACTACGTAGAGAACAGAACGCATTAGTCTAAAATGTAGTGCATATAGTGTGTGTACACTGAGATATATATACTACTCCTCAGCCTGATTATTGGCTATAAAGTAAAGTATTACCAGAGTATATAGAAATGTTATATATATAGTACATCTAACATACCACATGCAGTTGCATAGTAATAAACCATAATCAACTAAATTACCTCAGTATTGGCAACCATCCAAGATGTGGCATGATATGTAGAAGCCGCAATCTCGATCTCTAGCCAAGCCCTACTGGATAGACCAATAAATCTAATCTGCCCCCATCACACTACAACAGCCACCCGAAATCCCGTCTGGTAAATCCGCGCGGCAAGGAAGAACAACATTCCAGCTGCTTCCATCACACCACAAAACACCATCAGCCCCGTGTACCTCCCATCCCACGCGGAGATCAGTCCCCCCCCGATAGGATTACTAGTGAGATTGGCGACAGATGTCACCGCATACATGGCGCCGATCCGCACTCCGACCTTGGATACATCAGAGATCTGTGTGATCAAAGCCGGAGCCAAGGATATGAAGGCGCCAGATGTCAGCCCAAAGGCCGCCGCAAAGACAATAATGCCAGCGTTGTTGGTGACGGGGATCCAGAGAGCCAGGACAACAATGGCTGTCAACCCGGTCATGATAACCATGCAGTTATAGCGGCCCACTTTGTCGCCTAACGCGCCGGGGATGATCCGGCCGAATAGGCTGTCTTGAAGTCAGCATATGAAATTAAATAATAGTCTGCCATTGGATGGTGGAGATGGCACACACCTTGCGCCGTTGAGGATTGGCAGCATGTACACCGCTAGATCGTAGCCCATGCCTCGGTAGATTGCTTCTGAAATCACATAATTAATAGGCGGGAAGAGGCCGAACGAAAAGATGAATGCCCCCATGGCAGTGAGACAGAACAGGGGCTCCGTGAACGGCATCACCAGGTCCTTCGGGCTACCTGGCTTGGGGTTAGGAGACAGACGAGTCCGGACGGTGATGTTGGCAACGACCAGAAGGCCGAGGATGATAAACGCGGAGGTGCGCATGGTCCACGCAAAGCCAATCTCTGGCAGGAGTTTGTTGATCATGATGGGAAAGACGACTCCGCCTACACTGGACCCGCTGGCGACGATGCCGATGGCCAGTCCGGCCTTGCGACTGAACCATGTGCTTGAGGCTCCGAGAGCTGTCTACGTTAGCATGTGCAGTCAATTGTAATTAGCAAATGGATGGACTAACCGGCGTAGAAAATACAACTGGCCCCGATACTGCTACAGATTCCCTGCGCCAATAGGAACTGGTAGTATTCCTTGCAAAGCGAGGTCATCATCAGTCCGAAGACGTGCATGAACGTTCCGATGAGCATCGGATACCGGGGGCCATGCACATCGCATATTTTACCCAGGATGGGACCCTGGTCCACTCAGCTTCGAACATGGCACTTGGCAAGGGATACGAAGTACAAACCCCTAAGAACATGATAAAGACCTCGAAGGATGTGATCCATGCAATCGTGCTGGCAGAATAACCCCTCAGCTGGTGGGTTTCGTAGTATGTCTGGAATAGCCCGATGCCTATATCAAGTTAGCATACTCGAAATAAGACTTGATCATTGTATCTTACAATTCACCCAGCCAAAACTGACAAAAAGACACAGGAATGATCCGGCCACCACAATCCAAGCCTGAAGTCCTCCATCCGGGGGTAGACTTGCACTGGGAGAGTCAGCCATCTCCAAGGCATCCTTTTGATACATCACTGGGGTCGTTTCCTCCCCGTCATTCATCGTTTCCTGGCTCATTCCTTTGTACTGGAGTGGCGATAGCATGGATATCAAGTTCGATAGAGATGCACGATGTTATGGTTTGTGGTTGTCACTTGAGAGATATATATTTACAAAAGTGTTCATTCCTAGTAATAAAAAGAATATATCTGTTCTACCACAAATCCACCAGGAGTCAAAATTATCTGCCAAATCGGCCGTATAGTCAATGGAGACGTTGTCCACCCCTAGATCCTTTTCAGGCTCGCCCCATGTTTAAGAGCAGGAAGTAAAGGGCAAACGGCCGTATGGAATATTGAAAAGCACAGACCAAAGCCAAACAGAGACTATGGATTAGAGTGTCAATGTTCAGGCTTCGAAGCTCATACGGCCGTAAGAATGGGACTGTGGCGTGATTAGTGTGCTGGGCATGTGGGTTCACAGTTACGGCTAGGGGTGACATTCAAAATGACATACATGACAAGGAATGTTGGCAAAATTTACTAGTAATCTAGGGGGTCTAGCGAGTAGCGACTCAGATGGCCCTCCCCGGAAACACAAAAAAAAGTTTCAAATACGAAGCTATTCAACGCGTAGAATCCAAATTTTATGATTCCCAAGGCCGTTCCCCAAGCACTTGCTGCAGTACTGCAAGCTGATTGGCTGATCTCTTCCCTCAATGGTCTCATCAATACGGAGTATGTGGGCGTATGTTATCTTGGAAGATCTGTGTGCGTGGATTTTCTTCCTCTTCCAATGGCAAATCAGCTTCCGAATAGCTTCATCTTTATGGATAGCTTTGCTGCTGCTGCTCAGTTTGATATCAATCTCATCTTCTAGATCGCTATCCAGCCCAGTATCTAGCTTATCCAACACCCTGCTGTTCATGCTGATATATTCCACTTTGTTCGTCTGTACAGCATTGTGAGAGTTGCGGATCTTCGTATGCTGTAGGCCCATCGTAGGAAATGATTGTTCAGGGGCACCAGAAATGGCAACAGTATGGTATAACCGAATCGCAAAGCTTGCAAGGGCTGTTGCATTACTCCGTAGTTGTTTGTTCCTAGAAGAAGTAAAATTTCGATTAGTTCTATATACATTAGTATGAAACAGTAGAACTGACTACTCCGGTCATAGAAAAAACAGTAAAAGATTTGTCACTTTGTGTTTTACTTGAAAACTTTTGTAAGACACCAGCCCTAATCACTCCGTACGTTGGTCTATATCCCTGCTGCAAGCCTGTACTAATCAGCAAATGGCTTAGTGAGGCACATGCCACCTGGTCCATCTCATTGACAAGCCCAGAAGAAAACACTTTGATCTTTGTCTATGTACAAACACGACCCAATCCCCCCAACATATCAACATGGCCCGCGATGGAGAAGTCCAACCAACTAGCTGTTGACAACCCTCGACGCCGCAACCGCCGCATCAACTCCTGCCTCGCATGTCGTCAACGCAAGCTGAAATGCAACCGCCAACAGCCCTGTTCTAATTGCGCCCGAGCCGGCCGGGAATGCGCTTTCTTGCGGCTGGACTCGCAGCATAGCGTCCATAAAAAACTCGCCATATTCAAGGAACAAACCGCATTGCTGGAGAAGTGCCTCGAGCGAGATACGGAAATCGCCAAATCTACCAAACTGGGGCCGGCATCGCCAGAGGAGGACGAGGATGATCTGCTCATCACCTCACTCGAATTAGCTTTGTTGGGGATTCAGGACGCAGCATACGATCATGAGGACGATGATGACTCGGATGATGATCTGTATGACTTGGGGTTCCGATTTGGGAAAATGCGCGTGAACGAGCGGGTGGGAGGATTTTTTCACCCGCAGATGGCGGATGAGGTAGGCATACTCTACACCACTTGGCTGCTTTCTTTGACAGGTCTCCTGATATACTCGGACTCGCTTTCCTCAGCTGTCCACATTTCTGGACGAAATGGGAAACCCAACTGCACTGCGCACTCCCAACCGGCACAATCTCAGTGCTGCCGAGAAAGATCTCTATTTTGGTCCTGGTCCTTATTTCATTCCGCCTCAGTCCGGCCTGTTCTTCAGTCAATCCTGTTCGGCTTCTTCAATGACTGATTGGGCCTCCCAGCGACCTATGGCGGATGCACTCCTAAAGCAATATTGGGAGGCGGTGCATCCTATCGTTCGCATTGCCCATCGACCTAGTCTTGAGCGGCGCTACAGGACATTCTGGGAGGCAATCGATACGGGAGGAAGACCACCCGCATCATTGCGAGCCCTGATTTGCTCCATGCTCTTCATCGCAGTAGTGAGTATGTCGACATCCACGGTCTTGCATCAATTTGGAATTGCGCAGCAGATCCTTCAGAATCACTTGCAGTTCAAAACAGAAAAAGCCCTCAAAGATGCGCGATTACTCTCGACAACCAGACTGGAGACACTACAGGCCTTTGTTCTATATCTGGTATGTCCCCACGTCTTAGCGTGTCCCTATCGAAGCGAACTCATTACTTAAGAGGTGCAGATTCCCATGTGCCGCAGCGAGATTTCCCGGGCGCACTCGGCCCTTGTGGGAATGGCAGTGCGCTTGGCGGAATCCCTCGGGTTGCACCGAGATCCGAAGGAGTCGCAATACTCGGTAGTTGAGAGTCATGTCCGTCGGCTAGCATGGTACCAGGTTTGTTTCCTTGACCTACGAACGGCCGAAGTGCAAGGTCCACGGGTGGCCATACAGCCGGAAGACTTTTCGGTCGAGTTACCAGTCAATCTGGATGATGAGCAGATAGCAGCCGGGGTGGAGAGTGATCCGCTGGTGTGGACAGATATGACCTATACACGCATTCGGTTTGAGTGTCAGGAAATGCAGCGGAAGTGTCTTCTAGCGCGACTCCAGTTGGAACAAAAAAAGCTGCCCCTGTCCCAGGCCCTGCGACAGATCGACACCTTCCGCCAACACATGGAGTTCCAGTACGGCCCGATCTTCAGCCAGACCGAGCTAACACCATTACAGATAGCAGCTAAGCATTTGATGACTCTCTTGATCAACCGTCTCTACACGGCTGTTCTCCACCAGTTCTACCGGGCAGTGATCGTACAGCCCCCGCTCCGGCTGCGGCAGCTAGTCGTGAGCACGGGAATACAACAATTGGAGAGCTCCATAGCGTTGGAAACCATGCCTCAGCTGCAGTTGTGGGCCTGGTACAGCCAGGCCTACCACCAGTACCATGTCTCGATGCTGCTATTATTAGAGGTGTATTTGCGGCCCACGAGTCCGGGGGCAGATAGAATCTGGCCGTGCCTCGATTACGTTTACGAAACCACAACCGTGGCAGATTTGGAGGAGAACCGTAATCTGACCAGTCAGAATCGCAAAGCTTGGGTTATTCTGACAGCACTGCGTGATCGCATTGATGTATACCGGCGTATGAGACGCGCTCGCGTGCCGGTCCCGAGCACTAGGGTCATACGGCAGCCCGTTTCCTCTTTCGAATTCAAACAGCCAGAAAGCACAAGTCTGGAGAACAACCTGCCAGAATGTGGACCGCGGACTGGTATTGTTGGTCATTCCCTATTCCATGGGGGGATGGAGCAGACAGACCTCACTGAGTATGTTGCATCAGGATCTGAACCATGGCTGCTTCCGCTACCGCACCCCATGTCTTTTAGGGAAGACGGAGTATCTTTGATCAATATTGATTTACCCGAGAATAATATATTATCGTCTTTTGTGGATTTTGACTGGGTATGTTTGCTCTACTTTACATTTCGGGACTCGCTAATGGCGTACAGTCAGAGTGGGACACCCTTCATCATAATGCCATGGATGGTACATTCTAAAACTTACAACTCCCTGGACATTATATATTGAGATCCCCTGAACCAATGAAGACTGTCTTGTCGCGGGCTAGAAGCCGAAGAACTCGCTTAGGGTTTTCTGTTGAACATGTACTCCGTATTGCACTACTATTTCTGCTACGAGAACGGTCGTCGAGACACCTTTTTTTTAGTCGAGGGTTCTTATGGTTGACAGTTTCTAGCTAGGTCCGTAGCAGCTAAAGGCAGGTGAACTTTGCGGGCTCTGCCCACTACATCTTATGTTCTTTAGTGGATAATCTTAGCATGAGATTCTTAACTTAATACAGAGTGTACCTTTCAATATCTTCTACAGAGTATTACATATGGGAATACCTACTGGTGGAGAACGCTAATAAGAGTAATCAGTCGAAACTCGCGAAATTCCTTTAGGTTTAGCCTCTCTCTTAACTTCAGGCTTTAATTCCGTAAGTTATTATTATTACTTCTCTGCCACCTTTCTAAGGTCTAACGCTCCTACCTTCTAAGCTAGTCACTTAGCACCTCAGCATCTAGAACTTCCTATTGTCATACAATCCAATTTAATTAAAATTTTACGGAGTATGTAAAACGTATAGGATAGCTAAGTCAGTCAATGCATGCAAAATAACAAAAATTTGACAGTACTAGGCAGGCATCCTGTATCCACAGTTTCAGGCCAGCTGGTCAAAAGACAGCAATCAGCATTATGGGGGGTCTTCCCCATGGGGTCTGCAAGCTCGGCAAGATCTCCACACTCAAATCAGTCAAGCGACCTGTGCGGGCTTAAGAGAATTGTCGCATGGAGGCATGTGTGAGTTGTCCTGTTAATAGCACGAGGGTCGTTGCAGGTTTGGTACAAGATAAAACCAAATTGATTGATGATCTTTTTGCATACATGATATACATACATCTACGCAGTGACCCGTCGACTCCTGAGATATTCATAGTCTGGCATAGCATCTCGTACAGCCTTCTCCAGCGTCACAGCTACCTCGTCGCCGAACTCCTCCTTCCATACCCCGATTTCGGTCGCCAGATCCACTGTGGCCGGAGTCTTGTCCTTGATCACCCCAGTCGATGAGTTCAGGGTAGACAGCATGATTGAGGAGGTTGCCTTCTCCATCATGTCCTGCTCATTCATGGGTTGGGAGGCCGGACCGGACGCTTCCGAGCCCTGAGCCTGGGGCTTCGCTTCCCAATTGAATTGCACCACACTCGGATCTAGGCCGGTTTGCTCACAGAACCGGAGGACGACCTTCGGATTGTGAATCACATCATGAGCATCGAGGATTAGAGGTACCCCGAGAGCCTCTCCCTGCTCTAGCGACCAGTCGTACAGCATACGTGTCCATCGTAGCGTCAGGTTCGTGGTGAGCGTGCCGGTAGTATCTTCGGTCTGCATGAATCCGGTCTGCATGATTTTGTTCATAGCGCGGTAGAGAGAGGGAAAAGCCAGGGCCGGATGACGGACAATGAATGCCAGTCGCCATGTCCGCAGGTATTCATCCGGCATGACCGTTCGGTTCAAGGGGGAGAACGTCTGTGAGGGCCCATATACACTAGGAAACTGTAGTTGAAAGGCAGAAAGATGATCGGCCACGTCCTCAAACGCGGCAGGATTTGTCAACCAGAAGGCATGCTCCTTGACGAACAGCATCTTTCCCTCCTGCTCGGCCCGCGCGGAATATTGCTCAAGCCCGTCAATTGCTTGCTGCAAGGCATCTCGAATTTCGACCTTCTCAGCCTCGGTCCAGTCATCCAAAGGCTTGCTCAGGCGACCGTCACGAGCGGCTTTGGTGAACGGTGGATAGAAGAAATAGCCACCCTTTTCGTTAGTGAGCAAAGTTGATTGCGCTGGAACGTTGATGATTTTAAGCAACAGATTCGATGCCGTCCGTGGGACACTGATAAGCAGTAGCCGAGAGGCAGTGGAGGGTTTGTTGGCAACAGTCATGGTGATCGAATCGATACAGGAGGACAAACTGATCAATGGAAAAACGAGCAGATGGCTATATCAAGTGCTAAGATGGTGTGATCGCTGACCAGAGAGATATTTATACTGCCTGTTTCTCCCCCAGTCCAGTGCTTGAGTGAATCACTTTCAGCTCCACACCGTCATTCTTTGCTGCACCACCGTGTCACCAAATTCCGTATTGTTCGCTCCATCGGCCTCGGGCATGTTTCATTCTTCGTCCGCGCCCCGGCTGTCCAGTGATTACGGCTTTATCATTGGACTGCCACAACGGACGATCATCCAGCGGAGACACATACCGGGGGCATCTACTAGCGCAAATACTGGCAATCTTAACCTTTTGGCCTGCTTTTCGGCTTTCGGAACCTGCAAAATCCGATGAGGGGTTATGAATTATGATACGCCTTTTCTCCAGGTCCGAGTTGCATGGGATCGGAATGTGCTTGTCCGATTCCTCAGTCATGAAGCATTGCGTGATGCAAATACAGTACATTCAGCAATTTTTCGTCACCATCTCTGACAAGACATCAAGTCAGAATGTTGCCTTGGCGAGGTTTGACTCCAAACTTCGCGACCTTAAATGGCACATTCACATCGCCAAAGTCGGTACTGTCTAGTGCAGTCTGCGCCACCGCGGGCAGACTTTCCCACGCAATCAAGGGCTGCGTGTCTCCAACCATCGAGGTCAGGCCGCACTGATAGTTCACGGGCCAGACGCTGTGATACCTGACCCATCTGTTGAGCAGTCCCAACCTCCATGGGCTGAAGCGCACACCGCCGCCACGTTGTCGGTCAAAGTCACACTAGGATGCTTGAGCCACACAATGACTCCCTCCCAGTCATACTGATGGTTCAAGCCCGTCGACGGCTTGTCTTTGGGAAAGTACTAAGAATACATGAGCGCGTAGTGGTTGTTGTATTTTCCTCCTCGGGCATATATCTGGCCAGCGCTCTTGCTAAACGCCCCGTTAGAAGACCCCGACGGCTTCAGGCCGGCACTGTAGCCATTAGCTCTTCTGAATCATATGGGGGAAATAAATGGCAGTTAGTTTCTTACTTTCTGTTACCCTGAGCATCCGCGGCCGAGAAAGGAACACAGCTATTGACCACCTTGAGATGCGGCTGGTATGCCAAGTATACCTGGCCTGTGGTGCCACTGGGAACCGTCTGCGGTGGTCCCACGACTGCATCGCTATTCAGGGGGACTCGAGGGAACACAGCTCCTTAGACAAGACTTCCAAGAGCTGCCAGAGTGAAAATGAGGGCCATGATTATGATATCTAACCTAAAATCACAGAGCAAGTCGGCCATTGGGCTCATTGAGAAGCTTTATAGTTTCCATCTATCCCTCTCCTAAGATCTCCTCCCAAGGAACATAACAAATTCAGCAGAAACCAGTGGCCGGGGTATCAGATATCGCTATTAGAAGAGATGAAACCCTACTATTCCCAGGAGTAGTCCGCGGATATTACCCGATTTTTTAGCCAATTGGCTGTCGCTACACCAATCCAAGATCGGTCCTCCACAATGTGTACAAGTAAACTCCAACCATATCGAGCCTCTCTTCCTTTTGAGGGACAACGGTAACTTTATTGGCAATGATTAAGGGAATTTCTGAGTAGCGGAAGGGTGAGCATCAACTTGATCAGCTATTATACAAAAAGGGTGTCGACAACAAAGTTGTAGTACAAAGAGTTTTTACTAATGAACAACTAGCCTTCTACTGCGCACTTAAAATAGATTATGTTGTAGAACCGAGTCTAGAGAATCAGCGAAGTAGGAAGGCTGACAAAGAACAAGCACCCTGAAGTATAACCATGAGCTATCACTTTTATGGATGATGATCACTATCATATAAATTATGAACACAGTATACCTGAGTCATCCTCTATACTAAACTATCGAACAAGCACATGCTTCCTACTTGCTATGCTTATTCTTATTATAACAGATAAGCATGTGCCCAAAGAATAACAGAATCAGTAATGGCCAGTGACCTATTCATTGCACTTACTAGTAATATCATGATATGTCATCATCATTGCATTCACACTATAGAACTAAGACTGGAGAGTCAGAGGATTCTTTGAAGACTTGGGACAAAGGGTATGGTCTCCTTCGTTTCCTTGCTCACTGGGACCTCAGGAAAGTGGTACCATCTTGAAACTCCTCCACCATTTCATCTATTCAGACTTTTGGGCACTGTAACAGCGATCAATTCCCATGGCTACTCATATGGCAATAATACTGGCGTGATTGTAAGAACAGAGTCTCCAACCGTTATCCCGGATATTTGGCTTGAGCCAGTTAGAATCCACGTACCAAGATGAACCTCTTCCAAGGATTTATAAGAACGGCTTCTCTGTAGTCTGTGCTTGGGCCGCTTTGACAGATGCCGAGTCTTCAAAGGGTAAAGTCCTCGCGATACAAGAACGAGGACTGTGGCTTCGTGGCTCAGCCTGGGTATGTGGATCTGATCTTCATCGGGGGGTCCTTGTCAGGCCCAATGATCATGCCGGCTTGAGCACTGTCAGCCTGGAGAAGGAATTTGTCCGACCCAGGCCTCAGGTCCAATCCTAAGCGAACGACGAGTGTGGACACTGTGCCCTTGAGTCTGGACAATTAGTCAAGGCAATCATTCAAGCGTCCAGCATTCCTTCGCTCTACAAATGGGTTCATATTGGTTCTGAATAATGTCGAAAGAAAAAAAAAAAAAAGAAGAAGAAGAGCTAGAAGCGAGGGGCGCAATGTCGATGGCCTTGCCGTCTAGCAAGCAACAAAACAAGAGACACGGAAGCTTTACTTATGCACGACTCTCTAAATCCTACATCTATCGTGCTCGGCGATTATCCATTGACTATCGGAAATTTGGGTGCTTATCTTGGGACTCGCAGCTCAAGGTCCAGTACCTACTGAACAGACCGCGCCAAATCTGGGGTAGCTGCTTTGCAGTCTATAGATCGCAATAGGGGCACGGGAAGGATGACACCACTCTACTTAATAACCAATAAGTACTACTTAGGCAGGGAAGTTTTATTAAGAAGTCTGTCTTAAGGTATATCTATACATCAGCCACTGCTAGTTGTTCTAACTCAAAGCATTAATCTTCAAAAGGGGGTTGTGAAGAAGTTAAACCATTAAAGAAGACCCTCTTCTCATATTTGTCATTGCACAAAATTCTATGCCCTTGATTTATATCCTGGTGTTAATATACAGAAGCCTATAATCAGTATAATAAGAGCTCTAGCAATCTCCATTCTTTTCCTTCTACCATGTTTGGGTATGGTTATCACTAGTATGGAGGAGCTGGCAGCCACATTGCCCTTGTACACAGTATGTCCTGGTCTGTACCTGTTGACTATTAATTAAATGACCATCTCAGCTGCATTATATGGCCAAATTGATACCCAAGTCAGACTGCACCATCACTGACCAGACTTACATGTATACCGACTCAGTGTTTACTGGCACCTTTAAGCTTTATATACCTTTATTGAACGGGATCACAACGATGCCGCTCCCGGCTGATGATGGTTCTTGACCAACTTCACAATTTAGAGCCCGTATTGGTGACCTTGATCAAAGCGCGGCCGTTGCTCAAGACCACCTTGCCCTTGTCATTCTTGGTCATAAAGCGAATCTCTTCAAACCCGTCTGTGACATCACCGGTGCGCCACATCTCGGTAATCAGCCGGTCTCCGGGCTTCACTGGGGAGGCAAAGCGAGCCTGGAACTCGCGGAAGTTGGTGGGGTTGCTGTCCCCGAAGGCATTGAGCACGGCATGGGCAGTGGTATTCCAGCTGAAGAGCCCGTGAATGATAATTCCGCCAAAGCCCATCTTCTGTCCCGGCTCGGGAGTAGCGTGTAGCGGATTGTAGTCACCGTTCAGACTTGTGGAATGAGTCAGTGATGGGAGCCCATTGCATCACGCAACCACCGTTGGCTTGACGAACTCACCGGTACAGTTGAGCAGTCTCGGTTGTTGTTTGGATCTCATACGTGGCGTCGGGTTTCCGGCCTTCTGGGGGAGGGTAGTTCGGGGTACTGGGTCCTACAGAACGCATAAGCAAGCTTCGAATTACTCGTAGCTAGAACTCAAGCAGAAGCTCACCTTTTGGACCGCCCCAGTTGCCCTGTCCGACAAAGAATCCGCTGCTCACCATTCTGGAGTAGACCTCTCCACTGGCTTTATCGACAATCGTCTGCTCGGTCTCCATCACTGAGCCCGCTTTGCCCTTGTCATAGACCCCAATAACCTTGTTGCGCAACTCGAACTGTTTTCCGGCACTGGTGGGAGGCAGGGGCTTGTAGACGGTTAGTTTACGCTGACCATCAACCACGCGACGGTGGTCAAACTTGGGCACGCCAGGGACTGGATTGGCTTTTTGACGAGTATAGAAATCGGTGACCTCAGTATCGGTGAGTTTGAAGGCTGGAAAGAGAGAAAGAGAAGTCAGCGAGAACACAGGATGGGTCCATTACTGAAGGCGGGCACCACTCACGCAGGATAATGGAGTACGTAGGGAAAACGGCAAAGTTGGGATGAAGTTCCTAGAAGTCTCATTAGTCAATTGCTTCTTGTTAGCTTCAACTAGGATTACGACGCGTACAAAGAGAAAATGCAGCTCATCGGCTGTGATTCCAATGCTGCTGGCGAACAGCAAGACGTCGCGTTTGAGCCAGGAGACCGCCTGAGCGGGAAACTCGTGACCAGCACCGGGACTCGACATTTCTTTTCTTCTGTTGATAGTCAGGGATTATAAAAGTCGACGGTCGACAACAAGAATAAAGGGAATCTATTTTGTAATGATCCTGATCCTGAATGATTGGGAAGAAAGACAAAAAGGCCATAAATATGGCGAAGACGCGAGTGTGAGTGCGGAGAAAGAAATACGGCTGCAGATGTTTGCGGGGTTTGCCGAGGCATCTCGGACTGTTTTGACCGAGCATTGCGATGCAGCCAGGGCAAGTTGTCCATATCGGGAACAGGTATTATGAACAGGTAGATCTTCTCTCCATTGCCAGGAGTGCTCCTCCTTCTAGACAAGAGTTGTACCGAACCAACTGCCAATTCGACTTGACTGACTCTTGTCGTCGAGGTGCTCGTCCGGCCCATGCATGTAGGTCGTGACTACCGTCCGGGTTGTCGCCAATGGGATTCAGTCAAGCTCGTGAGCGGACTCGTTGTCTGTGCGCCTTCGGTCCCTGCTCAACAGGAAGTATTTGGTGCGCGACGATTGCGCATGACTGGACACTGTGTAGCGGGTCATGCCGTCAAGTCGCATGCCGTCAAGTCGCATGCCGCTCAATTGCAGTTGCCTCAAGAACGGGATGAACTTCGGTGTGCTAATGGTGACAATGCCCAAACACTAGGTTAACTAGGCGCAGACGGCGATGGGCCAGGTTTTGGGCGTGGGATTGCTGGAGTTGAGGGTACGACGAGTCAAGGCGATCCGGATAGTCAACGCTCCAGGAACGCTGCAATATGTGAGCTTCTCATCATTTTTGGACAAGAAGAACAGTTCGTACATCATGCGAAACAAGAACAGTGTCAATTTTCGTGCCGTGACCTACCAGCGCAAGGATGAGATAATAGTCATCGTGAAAAAGATGCCCAAACTTCCACCATTTGGTCCCGAAACAGGCCAGCGAACCCGAAATCAAAGTGACCACGAGAAACAGAGTCATCACAATGACTGTGGGAGCCTCGCTGCCCTCCGAATATCGGGTCATGGTTGCGATGGAACCAGGGAGAGTCGATCACAAGGCTACAGGTGAAGGATGGTGGACAATATTGTCTCGATGGGCTTGAGAAGGAAACACAAGCTTGCACTTGCAGCTATGAGACAGAGTCCCTCATAGCTTGGCAAAAGAAGGAGACATATTGAAATTGACAGTCCGATGGCCTAGCCGGTAGGATGGCCCGATACGGTGAAGGATGAGACGACTAACCGACAAATAGTACCACGGAGTAGACTTGCGCATGTCCTAGTTAAATTTTAGAAGAAGCATGCAGTTCTGAGATGAGTAAAATGATCGGAGTATTGGTCAATCAATCAGTCAATCAAGGAATCCATCACTCACAATCCGACCAGCGCAACTTTGGCATGCTGTCGATGCTCGGCTTTAGTTGTACCATTCTGATTACCTGGGAAGGTTTTACTGTGTATGCTTTCTTATCTCTGCTGATCGATACGCTAAGCATGACTGACATGATCATCAAGACTGTTCCTTCAACCATTGACCAAGTAGGATCACTCTTGAAATCCCCTATTGCCCTTCCCCCCCCCCCCCCCCTCCCCCCTAACTAACGACACCAATAGTGGTGGACCATCCGGCGCGGTATATGGCTTTCTCTTCGTCTGGCTTGGAACTGCCAGCGTATTTGTGGTGCTCTCTGAATTGGCCTCCATATATGTTTCTTATCCCTTTTTCTTTTCCTTTTTCTTTTTTTTTACTATTATCAGTCGCATCATATACAGAGAAGATGCTGACGACGCCGCCCTCCCTTCAGGGCTCCCACATCCGGAGGTCAATACCATTGGATCTCCATGTTGGCTCCTCGATGGACAGTCAGATTTCTCAGTTATATGTGTGGATGGCTCACCGTGATCGGCTGGCAGGCAACCTTTGCCACCGCCTGTTTTCTCTCCGGCACTCTCATCCAGGGACTTGTGGTTCTCACCCATCCAGACTACGTGCCCACGGCCTGGCATCGGACCATGTACTTCTGGGCTGTCACTGCCTTTGCGGTCGGCATTAATCTGGCAGGGCGCAATGTGCTGCCCAAGTTCGAAGGGTTGATTCTTGTGGTCCATATTCTGGGCTTCTTTGCCGTCCTGATTCCCCTGGTGACCCTGGCCGATACGGGCTCCGCCAAAGATGTCTTCACCCAATTCGTCAACGAAGGCGGCTGGTCATCCCAAGGGCTGTCCTTCTTTATCGGTCTCGTGGGGTGTGTCTTTGCCTTTGCTGGGGGAGATGCTGCGGTTCATGTATGGCCCCTTCCTGATCAAATTGTCATCCCTTTGCCAGGTCAAGACTTGAAAGCTAATGATGGTCAGATGTCCGAGGAAATCCAGAACGCTCCCGTTGTCGTTCCCCGATCGATTTTCCTCAGCGTTCTCATCAATGGCTTACTGGGCTTCGGCATGCTGATCGCTCTCCTCTTCTGCCTGGGGGACATCAACGAAGCTCTGGCATCTCCCACCGGATACCCTTTCATGGAAATCTTCTACAAGGGAACAGGGTCGCTCGCTGGCGCTGCGACCATGACTTCGATTGTCATTGTTGTCTGTATCTGTTCCACAACTGGCATGATGGCAGCCGCTTCTCGCCAGTTCTGGTCCTTTTCCCGTGATCGGGGTGTACCCGGCTGGCGGCTCTGGAGTCGCGTTAGTCCTCTAAGTGGTTGAGATCAATGTTGTAGAAGATGGATGGACGCTAACTGTATCTATAGGTGTCGCCCACTACACTCATTCCTGTGTGGTCTGTTGTTCTTACCACCGTCGTCTCTGTCCTCCTCGCTCTGATTCCTATCGGGTCCACCGTCGCCTTCAACGACTTGGTCGCCATGTCCATTTCGGGCCTGTACTTGTCGTACATCATGGTCGCATGTCTGCTCCTCTGGCGCCGTCTGACCGGTTCCATTGCCTTGACGGCTAGCGCAGGGGAAACAGTCAACACAATTGCCGCCAAATTGGTCTGGGGCCCCTTCCGCGTCCCCGGCATTTGGGGTGTCTTGATCAACATCTTCGCGATTCTCTATGCCATGATCGCCATCTTCTTCAGCTTATGGCCGACCTACAGTGAATTGACTGTGGAGATGATGAACTTCAGCGTGGTGGGGACTGTGGCTGTGATCCTTATCAGCGTGGTTTACTACCTGCTCCGTGCTCGCCGTGTGTATCAAGGACCTATTGTCGAGACGGTCCCACAATAAATGAAGTCGCATGGCTGGTCAAGGGGGGCGGGGTGTAAAAGTTTTGTACATAACTTGTATCGCCGGAGTCTAGAGACATTCTATCATTCTCGGTGATTCACCCCAGCCTAATTCTTTACATTTTATCCGGCGTCTCCTGCTGCCATGGAATGGGGGTTTCTCCCTCCACAAATGTGCCTCCAACAGGACGCCACATCACTGTCGCGTTGAGAGGTAATATCGTCTGCTCACAGATGGCCCATTCTTTTTGCTCCTCCTCGGTCAATTCTCGCGATGGGACCGGTTTCACAGGATTGGGCTGGATCTTTCGGAAGCCATACTTTTCATACACAGGAGCGCCATACTTGGACGCGTCCAACCAGGCTTCCAGGCCGAGGGAATCAGCCTTGGAAACGCCCCATTTCATGAAGAGATGGCTAAGTCCCTGGCCGCGGTACTGCGGAAGGGCAAACGCAATATGTAGGACTAGGGTATTCTCATCAGCAAAAGGGCTCGCTGTGCCTCGGACTTCCAACACCTACAGGCGTGTGCTCGCCGAGCCATCTGCTCCCGGGGATGCTCGAACTGTTGCATTGCTTGTGTCGCAAAGTCTCGTGTGACTCCTTCTGGGAACCAGTCCGCGACCATCGGTCCTTCCCGCTTCGCGTACGGATTGTCCTTGTAAAAGTACCATTTGGCGGCCGCCGCAATCTTGTTGTTTGCCTCCCTGTCAACCACCTTGATCCATGTCACATCGGGTTGCTGCTGGTAGTATTCTTCCTTTACTCCTTGGATATTGGCCTTGAGAGTGGCCTCTCGATCATTGTTCTGAATGGGGAAAAAGAGTCGCAAGACACCCTGGTAGGGGTTTTCAAATCCCTCCCATAGCGCCGCGGTCAGCTCGGGAAAGTCGTCATCGTTGATGACTTCGACGGAGAATCGGTCCTGCATTGTAATACAGATGGCTTTGCGAGATGTCAAAAGTCGGCCGAACAAGGAGTTTGGTGGAAGAACCTTCCGCTGCAACCGATGCAATGCTTTTAAAAGTATCGGGTGTGGCTATGTGGGACTAGCTGGAATGATCATGTCATGCCAGGACGGCTCTACTAATCCAGTCTATCGGGTGTATCGTGCCTGTCTTGACTCTTGAAGCTAGACTATCTAGAGAGACCCGGTGGGAAACAAATCAGTCCGAGACTTAAGACGCTACTGTAGTGCATGTGTCCATGTATCTCGCTAGTTGATAGGTTTGCCTGTGATGGTCTATCTGAGACAGGATAGACATGGGGGCCTCATCCGGGGCAAGGTGATTCACTCCAAGCCCTGCAAGTGTCTGGAAAGGGACGGGAGGAATCAAGGCTTCTTGCCACACGGGCCATACTAATCATTGTTACCTATGACTCATACTCCTAGGCTATGAGCCTATGTGCCACCGGAGACATACTAATCAACCGTATCATGTCCAGTCACCAGTGCATGTTACTTGGCCCTTAGTGCTGATTCTTTCTCTGCTTCATTCCCACAGTGACGCATCATGATTATTCTTATTATTACTATTTGAGACCTCGAAGGGGAAAAAAAAAACAATTAGTACAGAGAGATCCAGGCATATATCTAGACAACAACACTTTTCCGTCTATCCACCACCCGACCACAGAGCTTTGTCTATCTATCGTGATCTACCAAGCCATCTTGGCCAAAATGCCTTGAGGCCATCTCCTCACTCCGGCTTTGCGCAGCTCATCCAGACCCAGGATTCCCAGACCAAACGCAGCGGGGAGGAAATAATGCTCCACAGGCACACTCGTGGTATCAAGCACATTTTGCAATGGCGGAATATACAGCCAGAAAACTGCCATAACCAGAGCGAACAGGATGGCTGGGAAAAGTAACAGGTTCTGGGTGTTTTTGTTGAAGGCCGGCGGATGCGAGAAGATGGACAGCCGACGGGTCCGAATGGCCATCAGATTGAACCATTGCCTACACGGTAATTAGCAATCGTCCGGGAACAGCTTTGGAAAAGCGTATCATCACATACATTACCACGAGGTTGATGAAGTATACCGAGCTGGCCTCATTCAGGCGTGCAGCATACCAGTCGGGATCAATATCGGCAGGCACCTCGCCAAACTTGAACCACAAGGCTGAGAAAGGGATACCATTTCGCTCCAGATACCAGTAAGCCATGGCAAACGAAACCACGGTTTCGAGCATGCCAATGACACCATACGCTTGGAATATCAGTTTCCAGTTCACCAGCCGTTCTTGCTTGGGCTTTCTGGGAGGGCGCAGAAGCACATCGGCTTCTGGAGCCTCGTATGCCAGGACGGTCGCGGCAGCGCAGTCAGTGAAGCAGCTGAACAATAATCAGTGGGTGACGAGAATTTAGTGGTCACTAGATAACTCACCAGATGATGATCATCAGAAACGAGGACAGGACCTGAGGAAGACCAAACACTACACTGGTCAACACCGGCCAGAATTCGGACCAGGACCCAGCTGGTAGAAGATAGATAATCGTCTTCTTCAGGTTGTCGAAGACTACTCGTCCGTACTGCACCGCTGCGACAATGGCCGAAAAGGAGTCCAGAAGGACCATGTCGGATGCCTCGATTGCAATGTCCGATCCGCTTCCCAGAGCAATGCCAATATCTGCAGCCTTGAGGGATGGGGCGTCATTCACACCATCACCGGTCATTCCCACAATCTCGTCACGCGCCTGAAACTCGCGAACAATTCGAAGTTTCTGCTCCGGGGTGGTTCGCCAAAACACGATCTCCTGGTATTGGCAGAGCTGCTCCCATTGATGTTCGTTCAGGGCAATGAGTTCACTACCACTCAGACTAATGGCAGATGAGCGAACCTTTTCGCTGAAGTTATCATTGACGGGAGGGAATCTTTTGAGAGACTGGATGTCGTCAACCGGGCCGTCTGTGCTCACGATACCACATTGCCGTGCAATGGCAACCGCTGTGAGGCCAAAATCGCCAGTTACCTGTGGATGAATCATCATTAGCCAACTTCCTCTGACTTCAGTGGTTCTGTTGCCTGACCATGAAAATCTTTATGCCGGCCCGTCGTAGGGTTTGAACTACTTCGGGAATCTCATCTCTTGGAGGATCAACAATGCCGGCCATACCGACGAGGACGAGACCAGTTTTGGCATGGTTCATCACCTCTGCTTCGAACTCGTGAGAGAAAGGTAAGCTATGAATTTGCCCCGCCGAGAAGACCTTTCGGGCCAGGAGAATGACTCTCTTGCCCTCGGTGGACCACTGGTCCTTGACTTGCTTCAATTGGTTCAATGCGTGCTGGTCCAGCTGCTGCACGTTGCCGTCAATACCCACAATATGAGTGCATCTGTCGATCAGAATATCCGGAGCGCCTTTGATCATCAGTAGTCTATGGGAAGATGGTTAGCATGAGTATCGGGGATATGGTCAACATAGTCGGAGGCCTCACGTATCATCCCGCTGGAACTGCGCTGCCTCGGCTGGCGACATTGCGAGGTTGAGACCGGTAGCATCAACCAAGCTGAATGTTCGGATCATGAATTTGTTCTTGCTGTTAAATGCCAGTTCGAATGTTTTCTTCCAGAGACTACGAAGCTCCGAGACGAGACCGAGTCCCTCAGAGAACCGTAGAATCGCTTGGTCGGTCGCATCGCCAATGACCTTCCTCTCGTGGATCGGGAGCTGCATGGTGGCAGCATCAAATTCGGCTGCATTGCACAAACCGGCAACAGACCGAAGTTGGTGTATGGCAGAGTTTTTCCCTTTTAAAACCATCTCGTCTCTGGCGGAATCGGGCGTATAGGTGGCGCTGGACACCGCACAGTCGGTGACAAACATCCTATTCTGTATACGACATTAGTTCCAAGTGCAGCGGACAGAGATATATCTACAAACTATAGTAGAAAGGATGAATCGGCCTACCTTCGTCAAAGTGCCAGTCTTGTCCGAACAAATCACCGAGACCGATCCCAACGTTTCCACCGTCTTGAGCGATTTGCAGAGAATCTTGTGCTTGCTCATGAGATTCGCCGTAATAGTCAAGTTGGCAGTCAGAGCGATCGGTAGACCTTCTGGAATAAACGCAATGGCAACGCTGACACAGTCCACGATCAAGGTTGGGACGTTGATCCAGTCGGGATGGTCCTTTCGTAACCAAGTGGCCCTAGTGTTGAAGTCAACATTTGAATCTCCGATATTGATAATGTATAGCGCACCACACAATAATGATGACGATGATCATGACCAGCATGATGACTACAATCAAAGTGACGAAGCGCAGAATCTCCTTCTCCAGCGGAGTTAGGCCGGTTTTGGGCTCGCTGGTGAGCTTCGCGATACGCCCAAAGACGGTCGAGTCACCTGTAGAGACAACCACGCCTATCACACTGCCAGAGACACAATGTGTACCCTGGAGGCCAATGCTATGGGTCTCCAGATAGTTGACGTCTGTTGAATCCACCGTACCATTGATGGGAAGCGATTCGCCTGCTCAACTGTTAGCATGGAAGGACGGTTATTTATTTCCAAGGATGCTTGCCAGTCAGAATCGATCGATCGAATCCCGCATCGTTGGAAACTTCTACAAAACGGACATCCGCCGGCAATTTGTTTCCTGCCTTGAGGTGCACCACGTCACCTGGCACAATGTCTGGAGCCGACACTACTGCCAGGGAGCCACCGCGCATGACGAGACAGCTTTCGGGAAGCATAGCAGTGATGGATGCCATGACTCGGGATGATGACCAGTCCTGCCATGCATTGAAAGCCGCTTGAATGAAAAAAACAGCGAGGAGCACAATAGCCAGGGCGAGGTTGGCGAGCGCTGGCGGTTGGCCCAGGGGCTTCCAGGAAACAAACACCAGGATACACCCAACCAGCAAGATGGCACCAAACCCTTTGAAAAAATATCCAAACACCTGCCAGAACCATTGGTGCGGCAGAGGCGACAGGGCGTTTTTGCCATACTCGCGGACCCGTTTCTGGACTTGTTCAGGGGAAAGACCTTGCGAGATGTCCACTTGCCATCGCTTCTGTAACTCCTCGACCGAGATTGTGTGCCAGTCAAGATTGGATAGATCTGTAGTTGGTCTTTGTTAGCAAAAGGATGACGCCCTTCCCCATTAAGCGAGGGCATACCAGCTGCGACACCACTTTGAGCGGTTGCCTTTTCTCTCTCCTCGCGCTCTTTGGCTTCTTCGATATCAAAGGAGACTGTTCGATAATGAATCGGCAAGGAGACGGAAGGGTCAACGATAGTTCTCCGGTGATGGCTGTGGACTGAGACATGCGAGCTGTTGGACGCAGATGATACAGTGCGGGTCAGTGCCGGGCGAGTGTTCCTGGCATGATTGCCTGTCTCCTCATCGTCCGCTTGCCAGCGGAGACGATCGATCTCCTCTTCGGCAGATTTGGGGGCTTTGTCCATCTGTTACGCGAGGTTCGAGGGGGATTGTAAGCAAGGGGAAGAGAAGATGGGCTCCATGCATGTTCCTCTGGGGGTAAATAGCGATCTTTTCCACGTTTTATAGGATGTAGATGGGAGATCAACCATGCTTGATCGTGCATGCGTTCCATGAGGGAGTATAGTGGCCCCGCGATCGCATGTCCAGCTCCCCTGCGGGATTAATCATAACCATTGCTGAGCGATTGAAGTGGCTGCGCAAAAGCTTCATGAGACGTCCGTTAATCCCTCAATATAGACTGCGAGTCTATATCTGCCAATCAAGAAGATGTGACATGATCTTATTCAAAGGGGTGGGTGTCTTGCCTGCTTGAGTCATGAGGGAGATGAGGCTTTTAATGACCAACCAGATTGACTCAACTCAGACCTAAGATATCCGCCATCGATGTGAGTGAGATACATTCAATCGGATTAAGAGCAGGCAGAACGCCATGTGGACCATGCATCTAGTGTTTTCGCTTAATATTGCTCCAAGCTCTTGAAGCTGTTGAAGCCGTCAAAATACCGATTGCATTCACCGCACAGTGATACGAGTTCGCAATCCTGCGGAATATATATCGGAGGATCACTCGGGCGGTGATGGAAGTTGAACAGGCGTCGCAGGGCAATCTACCTCCTCCCACCAAAGCCTAAGCAGCGCCGATGAGGGAGAGAATGCAAGATAAATATAATGCTCTACCAGACAGACCACTTGATACTGTACCGTTGCTATAGCCTTAGGCTGCGTCGATGGCAGGAGCGACTGGCCACGTGACCTACCCGACCGACGACGGTCAGCTGACATCCCACACGTGACCCAGCGTTGACTTCCTCTCGGCTGCTGCTGCGAAGACGCGACAGCATCCTGTGCTTTCCCTGGTATCACTGACTCTGAACAACGCACTCTGCATCGAACTCTGCCTATTCCAGCTTCGACATGCGACTCTGAAGTCTGAGAATCGCCAAATAATTTGTTCCTGGCCAATTGTGGAGAAATAAATTGATTCTGATTCCTCCTCCATTTGCGGATCCTCCCTATATCCACAGTGGAGCAGCACCCAGGCCAGACACTCAGCCACAGACAGCGCAGCTTCCCACACTCTGGGTTGGACTTGGGTCTTTTTCCAGTTTCCAAGCACCAACCGCGCGTTGTCCCAGAATCCCAGGGGCCAGTGGCCCAGTAATCACAGATAGGTGCCGATCAGAGTAAACGAACAACACAAAGAATTACTCCGGAGTAAGTACAAGATGGCGCGGACCAAGCCTTACGGACTACGGTTAGCCACTGGCGCTGAGCAGGGACGCGCAAAATTGTGGATGGATCTTGGCTGACGATTGCGGGCGAAGAGAAAGGCCTCTAAAGACTGTACATGTCCCACCCGATGTGTCCAGTATCATAAAGATCAAAGGACCAAGGGTTGAAAACCAACTGGACCAGTCACAAAACAATGATCAGCGCGAACTCACCAGTGACCACAGAAGGAGAAATAAAGGCGCTTTCGCCTTTGCGTATCCGAGGACCCGCCGACCTGTGCAACTCCACTGGACGGACCCAGCGGAGATGGCATTGCCATCATCGCGAAGGCTAATAATAAAACAACAACTGAATCGGAGTTGTACAAACGGCAGTTCTCGAATGGGGTTGCCCACCCCATAGCAATAATGAAAATTATCTGTATCGTGTCGCCCGGATAGTGGACAAAGGCCAACTTCTAAGAATACCTCTCTTTGACCAGCTTCCTGTCTGGCCGTTCTCTGGGCCTTTGTCCAGTGACAACGATCTACAATCCATGGTAAAGGAAGTTCCACAGGGAAACCTTTGTGCTACCATTGGTCTTCTGGTCAGGTACCATCTTCTTGGACCATCAAAAAGCCGTTTTTCTGTGCCTGTCGTATTGATCCTCCCCAACACCACTACTTGCATCGGAAGATGGACACTCCAACGCCCTATTCGGCTCATTCTTCGCAGCAGAGCCGAAGCAGCTTCTATTCGCAGGCTGCTCCATCATCCACGGTAAGTATCCTCTAGTCTGTCGAACCACGCAGTGTACCAAAAGTTGACTGGGCCCCAGCAGCTCACCTATAGTCGCGAGGATGCTGAGGAGCAACAGCATCAAACCCTCCTCCGTCAGGATTCCTCCAGTCCTTATGCCGCCTCGTACGACGATCCAAATACCTCGACCGATTCCCTCCGACGATACACCCTGCAGGATCCAGGCGTTTCCGCAGCTACTCCGCCGCACCTGGAGTCTGAGAGTGCAGAAGTATGCAGCGCGCGCATGTCCCGAATTTCGGATCAGAGTGGGATGGAATTGGATACATGGCAGAAGCGACAGGGGACCAAGCCGAGCGCTCTGCGGCGCTACGGAACGAGAAAGATTAATCTCGTGCAAGGCTCGGTGTTGAGCATCGATTACCCCGTCCCGAGTGCAATCCAAAACGCAATCCAGGCGGAGTACCGAGATGCGGAGGAAGCTTTTCACGAAGAGTTTACCCACATGCGGTGTAAGTTGCTTTTTGGGAGCCGTCCAATAATGGCCGCTAACGAGGTATGAAGATACGGCTGCCACCTGTGATCCAGATGAATTCACACTGCGCAATGGCTACAACCTCCGCCCCGCCATGTACAACAGGCACACAGAACTTCTGATCGCCATTACGTACTACAACGAGGACAAAGTATTGACAGCGCGCACCCTTCACGGAGTGATGCAGAACGTTCGAGACATCGTCAAGTTAAAAAAGTCGGAGTTTTGGAACAAGGGAGGACCGGCGTGGCAGAAGATTGTGGTATGTCTAGTGTTTGATGGGATTGAGCCCTGCGATAAGAATACTCTCGATCTCCTGGCCACAATTGGGGTGTACCAGGACGGAGTGATGAAGAAGGATGTCGATGGACGTGAGACTGTCGCTCATATTGTAAGTGCCCAGTCGCATGGCATATTCGGTGGGAAAGAAGACCACTACTGACCAGACCGACCAGTTTGAATATACCACTCAACTGTCCGTTACAGCCACTCAGCAGCTGGTTCGGCCCCAGCCCAACGACCCTCAGAATCTGCCCCCAGTTCAGATGATCTTCTGTCTCAAGCAGAAGAACAGCAAGAAGATCAATTCCCACCGTTGGCTGTTTAACGCGTTCAGTCGGCTCCTGAATCCAGAGGTCTGCATCTTGTTGGATGCCGGCACCAAACCAGGCAACAAATCTCTGCTCGCGCTGTGGGAGGCTTTCTATAATGATGTGACTTTAGGAGGTGCATGCGGCGAGATTCATGCCATGTTAGGTAGTGGATGGCGGAAGGTGCTGAATCCTCTGGTGGCGGCCCAGAATTTTGAGTATAAAATCTCTAATATTCTCGATAAACCGCTGGAAAGTGCATTCGGATATGTCAGTGTGCTTCCGGGCGCTTTTTCAGCATATCGCTACCGAGCCATCATGGGCCGACCTTTGGAGCAATATTTTCACGGTGATCACACCCTGTCCAAGCGATTAGGGAAGAAGGGGATCGAGGGAATGAATATCTTCAAGAAGAACATGTTCCTGGCTGAGGATCGCATTCTATGCTTTGAACTGGTCGCAAAGGCCGGTTTTAAATGGCATCTCACATACGTCAAGGCTTCAAAGGGCGAGACTGATGTCCCCGAGGCAGCACCCGAATTCATCAGTCAGCGACGACGATGGCTGAATGGCTCCTTTGCTGCAAGCTTGTATGCCATCATGCATTTCAATCGCATCTATAAGAGCGGTCACAGTTGGATACGGATGATTTTCTTGCATCTCCAGATGATTTACAACTGCTGTCAGCTCCTTATGACTTGGTTTTCTCTGGCGTCCTACTGGCTCACCAGCTCCGTCATCATGGATCTCGTCGGGACACCGAGCGCCAACAACAAATACAAAGGTTGGCCCTTTGGCAATGAGGCCTCCCCTATCCTCAACTTCTTCGTTAAATACGGTTATCTTCTGTTTTTGATGCTGCAATTCGTGCTTGCGTTGGGTAATCGGCCCAAAGGGTGAGCATATTCTGTGCCCTTTCAGCCAATAGACTGCTGACGAGGATAGGACCAAAATCGCCTACACCATCTCCTTCCTTTATTTCTCGCTGGTGCAATTCTACGTGCTGATTTTATCCTTTTATCTGGTCGCCAGCGCTTTTACTGGTGGTATGATGGATTTCAACTTTGATGACGGCGTCGGGGGCTTTCTCCGGTCATTCTTCAGCTCAAGCGGGGGAGGCATTGTTCTGATCGCACTGGTATCCACTTATGGCATCTATGTCGTCGCCAGTATCCTCTACATGGACCCGTGGCACATACTGACCAGTTCCTGGGCGTACTTTATCGGCATGACCACCTCGATCAACATTCTGATGGTATATGCCTTTTGCAACTGGCATGATGTCTCCTGGGGAACAAAGGGGTCGGATACGGCAGATGCATTGCCCTCGGCGCAGACAAAGAAAGCAGACGACAGCAAGAACAATTTCATTGAAGAGGTCAACAAGCCGCAGGCGGATATCGACAGTCAATTCGAGGCGACGGTCAAGCGGGCGCTGGCACCATTTCAGGAGCCCAAGGACGACTCGACCATCAGCTTGGACGACTCGTATCGGAACTTCCGGACTAACTTGGTGCTGGTTTGGATTCTGAGTAACCTGCTGGTCGTGTTGTTGATCACTAGTGACGGCATCCAGAAGATGTGTCTGACGGTATGCATTCCGTTCGATACTAGAAGAGGAGAAGCTAACCCAAGGCGTAGAACACATCCACCACACGGACCTCGTGGTATTTCTCGGTGATTCTGTGGTCAACAGCTGGCCTGTCCATCTTCCGATTCATCGGGTCTCTGTATTTCCTAGCCAAGTCGGGCATCCTGTGCTGTGTAGCGAAACGGTGATGGGCGGACCGTGATGCTGGGTCGTTCCATAGATTTGAGTAAGCCAATAGACCGGTGAAACATTCCCTTACCCTGAGCGGTAGATCATACAGAAAAGTCATTATTAACAAACAATGGTAACTGATGAGGCCTGAATATTCTCCAGATTCTTTTCGAGTGTTTGTGCTCAGTGTGTTCAGTTTTGGCAGACTCAGATTCTGCCTTGGCGCCTGGGGGTGGGCTGGGCTTCCAGTTGGCCAATTTCCAACCTTGATAGGGTTAGAAGCTGGCCAAGCCGCCAAGGTTAGAATTTTTTTTTTTTTTTTTTTTTTTTCTATAGGGAATCAAAAAAGCTGGCCAAGCTTAGGTGGGCACTGCATCCCGCCTGGGGTCTCAGGCTGAACATACAGTGTACTCTGTTGTGACTGTTCAGCGAAGTCGAGCACCATATCCCTCATCTGCATTGTACACCCACGGACTCTCTTTCTCTCACGCAATTTTTTCATGTTGCTTCCATATATGGCGGAAGTGTAGGGAGTCAACAAAAAAAGGGATTCTCCTGGCGGTATTCGGCTTCAGGGTGGCTGCGCAGACGACAGTGGGGGCGAAAGCGTCACAGTAATGGAATCGTCAAACGCTGTCTCTTCGAGGGCAGTGCGTGCTCGCAGGATTAAGAATTGGACGTCGGAAATTTGGAATCCTGCCAATGAGGCTGAAACGCCGATCCCCAATGGTATATTCTATGCTTACTACGGAGTACCCTGTCAGATTTTCGAAGCATGTCGATACTCAGTAGAGAGATGATCATCCGCAAGGCTTCTCACGGGCTTATTTATCTTTTCTCATCATGGAGTGGATTAGCATGCCGCCAGTCTCCAGCCTTGCCAGAGCCATGTCATGCCACTGAGTGGATGTCTTTCACTCGCATTCTCAAAACTCCCATGCGCAAGCATTGTGACTGCGCCTCCACTGAGCGGGTGGATGGTTATCACCAGTAGGAACTTGGTATAAATAATAGGCATGGGAAAGAAAAATATGGCAATCAAGAGTTCTGTTTTCTTTTTCCATTCTCCCTGCCTAGAAGCTCAACAGGTAAACCACACTTGAATCTGTTATAGGCATCATATCCGATTTCTTCACCATGCAGATAGTAACAGCAGTTGTTCGCGCTTTCCAGGTGAGAATCAACCTCTCCGGGCTTGTCGCCCTCAGTCTAAATAGTCCCTAGTTTCTCTTTGCGATCGTTGTGCTTGGCCTGTCCGTCACTCTCGCCAAAGGCCAACGATATGGAACAGCCCCTGCAGCAACCGGCTATGCAGCATTCACTGGGGGGCTCGGAATTGTGGCCGCGTTGGTTGGTTGCGCTGCCTTCTTCGTTGACGCGCTCAACGGCATTGTGACCTGGGTGCTTGATGGTCTCGCGAGCCTCGCCCTTTTGGCGGGTGGCATTGTATGGTCTCATTTCCTGGATTGTTCGGCGCCGGCTAATCTTTTCCGATATAGACGTTTGCCATCCTCCTGCGCGGCACCAGCTGCTCCAAGATCGAAACGACGTGGGATAATGTGATCCTGAGTGGAGGCTGCACGACCATCGACAACCAAAAGACCTGCATGTCGAGTCCCAGCCGGCTGAAGAGCCGGTGCACATCCGCCAAAGCTGATGCTGCGTTCATGTTTATTGACTTTGTCGTCTGCATTGCTGTCATTGCCTGTTCCTTCTTCTTGTCTCGAGACCGCGGTGCAAACAAGGCAGGCTTCGTCTAGAATCCCCGGTAGAGAGAGGATCAATGAGGGGTTTCAACATGGTTTGTTCTCCGAAGCTTCCAATTGGTGGCGGTGGTGAAAAGGACTTGGATTCTATGGAGAGCTGGTAATAATATGGTTGAACCTTCCTTAGAGATACCGCGGATTGTCCTGCTGTCCTCTCTCGCTATGGAATCGTGTCTCCCGTAGAAATGAAATTCCTGAACTTCCTGCTCAATACGTGCCTTGTAAATCCCCACCCTTCCGCTGGCTTTGTGCGATATCACTTCTTCTGGGAGCCACCGAGCAACAACGCCCCGACGATGGTTATGGCAGGCGCATATCCCCAGTGATTCCATTCCCCTGCACCGAGACTCCAACACACGGCCCCGTCGGCGAAGGCCACGGCACTGGCGGCAATCAGGATCCAGCCCAGCGACTTCCGCGTTCCGAAAAATGCAGCAGCGTAGATGGCGAGGCCCATGAAGATATCTCGGACTCCGTAGATGGCCATGAGGCTATCAACAATGCGTCGATCAGATGCAGTAGTAGGCGGAGTGAGCTCGAAAAAGGTCAAGGCATGGGTGGGACGGAAAATCGCATTGACACCGAATCCGATAAAGATGGTTCCAAACAGAGAGGAAACGAGCTGAAGAGAGGATGATTGAGACATGGTCTTCTTGGGGATGTGCTCTGCTGGCGAGGAAGGAGAGCTCAACGCGATGCCCTTTGTTTACTGGGCAGAATAGAGAAGACCTGTTACAGAGGCCAAACCAGCACCCTATAACTGTCGGTTGATTTGCTGACAGAAGGATTCCATATATCGACTTGGATTTAGGCAACAACTGCGATTAATCTGACCGTTTGGGGACAGAGATGCCAGGCAGGGTGGGACAAAGCGCCGAATAAGTATCATTTAATGCGAATTGAAAGGGTCATGTTATCCATCAGCATCCCGCTATTGGCTTTTGAACATCCACAGCAACCTAGCAAGTAGCAACAGAAGGGGATTGTCAAGAATTATGGCAATTACCTCCACAGACTGGGCTGTTGGTTACTGGGGCACCCAAGTTCGCGCCACTTCGTATCTTCTCTGATTAGTTGATTACCACATTCCTGTGGGTGATATTAGCCTGTCTAGTAGCAGTGTCACCATATTGAGTACCTATGGTGGCAGTAGTATTATAACAGATGATTCCAACAGCACCTGCTGCATATATCATCAATCAAAAAGGTGGAGGATACAGGAGCAAAAAAGCAAAAACATACAACAGCTGGGATTCGCAGGTGGTCACCCACCCAACTACTAACCAGCTGGCGTGTGGCTTCAAACGCGGTCAAAAGGTCAGTGGGTGCTGCCATCACACAATACTACTTTTAGTTATGCGACCCTAGGCGAGCTTAGGTAAATATAGAATCAACAGGGTGAGTAGTCTTCTATAATCATCTATAGTCACCCAGGCTCCCTGTAAAAAGCCGTTTGATTATGCTACCTACGCGACTGTCGGGAACTGTGAGGTCAGCCAATAATATCCCCAAACCCATTGGCATCACGTGTAGGGGCCCTTATAAGCGCCTAGCACCTCAATCAAGTAAGGGCGATATAGTAACATGCTTGGGCTGGTCACTTTATGCACTGATGCGCCCAATTCAGGTGAACCCAGGTGCGGCGCATTCACCTTGATACCCATTCCTGTTATTCACATTCCGCACACTTGAAGCGCTTGTCAGGGGAAACAGCTACTACACTTACTACGACCCAAAGAAAGCTGCCATGAAGAAGTTGAGAGAGGCCTTCGGAGGACGACAGAGAAAAGGTCAGGCTCCTTCCAGCGAAGAAGTCGACCAGCAGCCATCGCTTATCTCGCACTTACGAAAGCGGTATGATCTGTATGAAGACACGAGTTCTTGGTATACTATGTCTCAGACCTAGACAGATGTCCTGGAAGATCATGCCATGCCGAGCACTTTCTTGGTGATTGATGGTCTTGATGAGTGTCATGACGGTCTATTCAAACTTCTCAACATGATCATGCATAACTGGTCATCATACTCCCATGTCAAATGGCTCATGTCCAGTCGCAACTGGCCTAGCATCAAGGAACGACTAGACACCGCAGAGCAGTTATCCCTCGAGTTGAATACCGAATCTGTGTCCACTGCTGTTCAGCAATATATCGATCATCAAGTACATCAACTGGTGAAACAGAAGAAATACAATTCCAAACCCCAAAACGCAGTGCAACAGCATTTATGTGAAAATGCAAAGGGCACATTTCTCTGGGTAGCATTGGTTTGTCAATATCTCGAGAGGGTGCGATGGGAACCCCTTGCCAAGATGAAAACATTTGCCCCCGGACTGGATTCTCTGTACCAACGCATGATGCAGGAAATTCGCGAATCAGAAGAGGATGGGCTGTGTAGGGAGATACTCGGCTTCATGGCAGCTGCTTACCGGCCTATCGCACTCCAGGAACTGGCGTCTTTCTGTAATATTCTGGCGGAATATTCCAACGATGACGAGGCATTAAGAAGCTATAAGCCTTTGTGGCTCCTTGACAATTCGCGAAAGGACGGTGTACTTTGTACACCAGTCCGCAAAGGACTTTCTCACTGAAAAGGCATCTAACGAAATCTTCCCTTAGGGAATAGAATCAGCTCATGGCATCAAGTTACTAGAGGTAGAAGGTGTCAAAAGATCTCGGAGCATTGATAAGCGCACATTCGGTATTGGCAATGGCAAGGGGAACGACCCTCTGCCACCGATCCTTAAGCCGCTCTCGTTGCCGTTGTCCGAGCTGCTGGGTGCTACATTGGCATTGTGCGATGTTGCAGTCACACCAGCTTGTATCTCAGGTATGTCCACCGTCACAGTGCACGACGTATCCGACGAATCTAAATTCAGGGTAGCGGTGTACAACATTACAAGAGGCACAAAGGCCACCAAGGGCAATGAATTGGGCATCTTTGAGGATCTAGGGGATGTGTACAGCTAAGAGGATCTCAACCTCTTCTTTGCATTGGTTGCACAGTATGTTTGTCCCTGCTGTTTCTCTTCGTCGCTGACCCGTTCTAGGCAAATACCCCAGGGCACTCACCCCATCCTGAAGGCTGTCAACGGCGCTCAGGCTCCGACCAGCGTGTCCAATGCAGGGCCAGAATCCAACTTGGACTTTCAAATCTCGTACCCGGTCATCTGGCCGCAGAACTCCATCCTCTTTCAAATCGACGATCCAGTTCGTATTGAACTTGTCCTTACGTCAAAGACGGGTTAGACTTACACTGATTTAGGTCTACCAAGCACACTATAACTTCACTGGCTTTCTCAACACATTCCTGGATGCCATTGACGGATTCTACTGCAACGAGATCTCCCCTCTAGACCCGCCGTACCCCGATGCCGCCGCCGGCGGCTACAAAGGCCAACTCCAGTGCGGCGTCTACCAACCCATAAACCAAGCTGACACAGCGAGGCCATCTCACAGTGAGCTTCTCGACGAATTCATGCTCGTGGTTTTTAGCTACGAGAACGGGCAGTTTCAATCGGCGAGTATACTCAGTGCTTTCTCTAGCGTAAACGTCCTTTTGTTACTGGGACACTGGGTAGTATCTCGTGGGATATCATTTTTATGTACCGCTCTACCAGGAACATATATACATCAATCATCAGGCATGATAAACCCACCACAACGGATTTAGTGTTCTTACAGTCTTACTAGATAAGAGTTTACTAGTGCCTAAGGCAGATTGTGAGTGCCTAGTAAGCTCAAGCACTTAGTAGGCCCTGCCCGCTACACTTAACTATTTTTTAAGACCTTGTTGAACTTGTCAAAATAGCCGAACTCTCCGATCTGTCGCAATCGGACGGGTATTTCCCTCTTCATCATGCGATTTCCCAGTTCCACCATCATAAACAGGGATTAAGCCCTCAGGAACAGAGGGACACAGTTCCCACATGTACTTACTGGTCAACTCCCCATAGAGAGGCCACAAGCAAGGAAGTTCAACCCGCATGAAGCCAGTGTATTGCGGATTATACCGCGTCTCAGGATACCGTCCATCGATCATCCCAACGAACCCATAAGGTTGACTGTGCCTTTGAGGGCCCTCCCCCCGGCGAGGAAGAGGACTAGCAACAATCGACTTGAGTGATTGTTCATTAATGATAAGGCATCCTTCAAATCGACCATAGCCGCGCTCTTTACTAGCACGGAGATAGTCGGCAAAATGTTGGCGAACCTGTTCGATTCTGGCCCCGTCCCAGAACTTCTTGTCGGAGAAGATCACGTCCTTGCGCGATTCCTTTACTAGTCGTTCTGCGGTTGGATCAGGCTCCGGGTCCTCTGGTTTTTTATGACGGATGTCCGCGTAGAGGTCGGACTCAATCGAATAGTTCACGATCTGAGCAAGTTTCTCCATGGCGATAGGCCACAGGTCGTCTGACTTAGCGGTGTAGACTGTTCGATAGATCATGTAGCCCCATGGGAACTGGGTGATGATAGATTGAGTTGTCGTCGATATTGTCCATTACTTCGTTTATTGAAGCTGGGTCTAGAGATGGCGCGGTAGAGCAAGGAGATGGGATAGATGTCATATTTGGGAAGTGAAAGACCACAAAGTATCCGAAAAGCAGCAGGAGAAAAACATAGTAGATGATGACCATATAGGGATCCATTGTGTGGGACAGAAAAAGTCAGGGAATCTGACTCTCTGAGTTAAGCCGGCTACTACCTACTACTAGGTATACTACCTTAGTAGTACCCATCGCGTTATTTTTACCACGTCAAATCGACTTGTTTCACCACTGAATTCATCGAATTCTGGTGTCTGTCTTTCCCAGTGCCTAATAATTTGAAAATTGAAATCCTTGCTTTCATCCACAACTTCTCCTCTGCGGGATATCTACATTTACCAACATAATACTAAGGTAGTAAAACACTCCAAGAAGGTGTTGAAATAGGAGTCGGGACAACACTGGTCGAAACAACTGGAAGGGAGCTAGACCAGCCCGAATTTGGAGCGACGCAATAAGCATTTCCAACAACCAAGGCGGCAGAACAATTAGAGCTTGAAAGTGATGGATTCACCTCGACAAAGAGTGTGGAGGTGAGTGACTCTTGGAGACAAATCTGCGCACAGGATTCACCCTGCGCAGCAACATGCCATTTCCCGCATTTCAAGGTTGTGCCGTCAGCGACGGTGGCATTCGAGGGAGGATTGACAATCGATTCAAATACCCTGAGCTCTCGACGGGACTCAAAGTGACTCCAGGAATGGGTGCTGTAGCTGTATAGTTTCCACCTTGGTCTCCTAGGCAGATTACATGACCCCAGGCTGCTGTTGTAGTCTGGAGGTTGGAGCAGTCCCAAGCAACCCAGGGGTTGTATCTCCTGACACGTTTGGCGAGTAGGACCCAGTTCTCTCAATAGAGCTGCATGTGTCGTTGCTCTTGAGCACACATAGGTAAACGCACAGCTGGTTGGGAGGCAGAGGTTCATCTCTGCAGGTAAGCTGTCGCAGATCATGAGTTGGCGAGGGTTCGCCATCACCAAGGCTGCTGATGACACACTATACCTCAACGCAATGGAGTCACGTGTATCGCCAGAGACCATGGTGTGAGTCTGATTAGAGGAGCAGATGGGGTCCAGGAGGAACTCTGGCGGAGCATCCAACGATGGGGGCATGGCGGTGGGAGCAGATAAACCGCACTGCTCATTAACAACCTCCAACTGGGACTAGAAGCCTTTATCATCGAACGAATAAGGTGAACGTTGCATCATGTCCAGTCTCTCCACAAAATAAAACGAACAAAGTTCGTCCTTCGGCATATCTTCCAAGAAATCGACGACCGCCGAAATCCCTGCAATCACATCTGAACGTGGAAATGAGCGTCATGTTCTTGATCAAGTTAGGGAAAATGAAGTGCTTACCGTTACAGTACTCGCCAATCGTAGGATCCCTGAGGCAAGTTTCATTCCAACCCGACCAGACTTGACCACCATATTTGGTAGCAGCGGACCCGGAGACGTTGTACCCTGCGCATGCCGAGTCGACATTGTCAAACCAGCTTTTCAACGACGTAGCACTGCGACCCGAGGATTCTCTGCGTCTTCAAATTTAGAACTGGTTGCCATAATTTGAGACCAGGCCTGACCCAAGATCCGAGAGTTACGCGGAATCTTTAGTGAGTCCTTTATGATATAGACACCATAAGGAAAGAAGATAATAGATGACATGTTAGCACCGCGAGCAAGGATACTATTCAATGCAGTTGTGTCATCACTTTGGCCGTCACCTTTCGCGCCAAGTGCCTTGACGTCCAAAACTTGAGTGTCTCCAAGATCATCATACTTTGGACGCCGACGGGTGAAAAAATTAGGCTGTGTACTATAGGTGTTGTTCCCCACAAGAGACGAAGATCGGTTTAATGCCGGTAGGTTGGTACAGTCGGGCCCATTAGTTTCCGTATGAAATTAGTATGAGATTTAGACTATTTTACTTTAAACGCTTATTGTTTAGCCAGACTTTATTATTAGTAATTAATATCTATATATAATAAAATTTAATATCTTAATTTTAATATATTTAAATTTAAAATATAATTATAATCTAAATATTCTTTATAATACAAGGTGTAATCTACATACTAAGATAGATATATTTATTTAGATATATATCTACTTATTTCTTATTATTTCTATATATTTTAGAGCTTTATATCTCCATAAATTTATATATAAACCTAGTTTCAATTTTTTATATTTGATATTTATAATATTAAGCTATATATCTAAAGAAAAGAAATATAAGAATATTAGAAAACTACCTAATTATAGAGGTATAAAAATCATAAATATTAGGATGTTTAGAATCACTTATTTTTATACTAACAAATAATTTATTTTTATTTTTAAAATAACTATAATATAATTTTAATAATAAATAATATATTTATATAAGATTTAATATTATAACTATAATTAGTAGTTATATAATACCATGGCGTAATCCCTAGATAATAAGGTAGGCGTACGGAGACTTTTGACGTAGAACTGTATCAGGTACCAGAGACAAATCTTGCGCCTTGTGGATCATTGACCATGCCGAACCCCCAGGAGTCAAGAATGATCTGATCGCCGCCAGGGATAAGAGCTTTATTGGCAGTATCATCCAGTATAGCATTCTGAGTGTTGTAGAACCCAACATTCTGCAAAAATAGTGCAGTTGAGTTCTTGTTGTATAGAGTGGTGGTGATTCCAGTTGGAGTGTTGGCTATGATAGCGTCAACCAAAGCAAACGATCCAACCCCTTGTCCAGTGCTAAAAGGACCACCTGCCTTGAAGACATGTTAGAATGTTAAAAAATATTTCCCCTGTGCATGTAAATATGTCACTCACTCCACCGACGATTACAATTCCACTGCCGCAGCTCTCAATGACAACATCTTGCATGGTCCAGGCCCAGTCCCAATGGATTTGGAGAGCTGTATTACAATTAACTGCGTGTTGTAGTATTGGATTATTGGACTGCTGACGAGGTAGTTGCCTGGTGGAAAGTAGACGACAGCAGGGTAGACTATTGTGCTAGAGCCGCAATTCGCACCACAACGCCCACCATCTGAGATGGCAAGATTTATAGCCGCTAGGAGTTGTCAACTCGCTGTACTAAAGGCAAGGCAAGGAAAGGAGTACTGATCACGAACCGGTATTGTCAGTTACACCATCACCTGTTGACGGTAAGTGTTTGGATTGACAAGAATTAAGTTGCGGATAAACTTACCCTTAGCCCCATAGTCCATGACATTCCTCTAGACCTTAAACAGCGGTATTTAGATTCTCACAAAAGTACCATGAAATTTAAAACAGAAGGTCAACTTACTTTATACCCAGAAGGCGTATAGGGACTGCTTCCACGTTGTGTCATCGTGGCCATCCACCAGCTCGAGCTCGCTCGCTTCTTTAAGTCGCCTTCTGTGCCATTCCCTCTAAGGAGCATTGAGTCGTTCTCATCCAAAACAATTTGAGATAACCCATTATAGGTGTGGTATGCCTGAGGTGGAACATAGGTATCCTGGATTCCCGTTCCATACCTCTCATCCGTTAGAGCAGCAATGGCACTATGATTGCCAGTTGAGGGGGAACGGGGCGTCGACTCCGCAACAATCTTAGCAGCTTCCCTGAGCTCATCAGGAATCGAATACCCATATTTGTCAGTTGATTCAGAATATCTCCGAGTGAGTCGTTCCTCTGAGCTCTCTGCGTCTTTGACAGCCCTTGGGCTGTAGTCAAGAGGCGAAGAGTCAAGAGCTGGGTGCACTTCGGAGGGAGTGCCCACCTCATACTTATTGTACTGGACGTGCTCCAGTCGAAGTTTGTTCCGTATCTTCAAGACTCTCAGGGCTCTAGTAACAACTTCGGCCGCGTTTGTAGTTCCTTGAGGCACAGGCGCGACACTGGTTGTTGACACCGGAGTCACTCCAGATATGGAGACCGCGCTCTCCTGTTTCTGTACACCAACAGACTTTGCATGCAGATGGTCATGTTGACGATGGGAGCCTTGAATGAGAAGGCCGAGCTGGCCTATGAGCCAGATAGTCCGCTAAACACGCATCTCGCGATAACTTGTTGCATGAGAACTGCTCTGGTCAGGCTGAGAGAGTCAGGAAACTAAATGGAGATTTCCTGGCTTTGAGTCAGAATCGCTTCAGTCTAACCTTTCCACTTTCTTCTCTCCCCCTTTTTTTCTTATTCTTATTCCTTCCCACTCGTGCCGGGCTCACCAGCGTATTCGTGACATGGGGCGCAGCTAGACCAGAACACTGGTCTCTAGCTTGTATGGTGCGGTCCGGCCCTTTCCGCTTTATCCATAATCCTAGATTGTACCTATGGAGTAGATGTAAACCGAGGTTGCATTGCGCTTTCAAGGGGCTATATCAGATTGCTCCAATTGGGGGTATCAGCCACAGATTTCTGTGGGCCCGAGGGAACATCAAGAGCGCTCTAAATAAGAGGCCATAGCTCATAGCGAGTCGTGAGTCGGTTTTTAGTTCAGCACGTTCTGGGTGTTGACCAGAGTCTGGCTTTTAATAATTCTTTCATAGGAATTTTCAATTCTAGACTACACTGTTCTTCCTCTCCTGATCAGGCCCCTTATACCCCGATATCTCTAAAGGGGGATTAAGGGGCCAGGGACAAGTAGGGATTACCCCAAAAGTAACAGGGTCCGTATCGTCCTTGTGTACCATCTGGGACAAGTATATCCCGAACCATTGGGAGAACTTGACCTGCAAAAAATAAACGGCCTGGGTCAATGATAAGAGTGGAAATCCTACGGCCCAGCAGCATAGCCCCGAGCAATGGGCGGAATGGATTCTGTGTAATCCTCGATGGCAAGGAGAGCACTCACCCTGTATGTGACCATTACACCATCGAAGATGCGGATTATATGGCGGATGATGGCTCGAGTGTAAACGATGGTACCCTCGCTAAGCGATGGATAGAACAGGTACATATCCTCTTCTTCCAAAGGTCCTTCAATCTAACACGCATTAGAACAGGACAATGTTCTATATCAACTCGAGAGGCGGTCACCTGCCCAGGCGAGATCGTTCGACTGCGACGATGGAACAGTCAAACGGAAGATCAACTTCCAATCTTAGCCCTACCCAAGTGCTGGCGACTGGGACGATGATGCCAAGCCCGTCCAAAACGTAGTAGATTTGTTGGATTGGCGGGCGTACCGGAGTTCTGCGATCGGAAGATTTAATCAGGGACCGGATCGGAATGGATATGCCAGTATGTCCAAGGCGTTTCTTCCCCCTGCACAAGTGAATACACTAACAATGATTGTAATTTGCCTACAGCCGAGCACATGGTGGAATTGGGATCTGTTCCCATGTTCTTTCAGTGGGCCGTCGATACCGCCAATGAGGAAGAAGCATGCAAGGATATAGATTGTGTGTTTGTGTCAGACTTTTTCAACAAAAGGGTGAACGATCCACCTACCATGCCTGGGTTGGACGCCTCCCACCAGCAAGTTCCTATGCAGCGAGTGATGGAGTCGCTGGGTAGTGATACGAACCGACAGAACTTTGCCATCCTTTGGGGAAGCGTCAATCTCAACAAAGCACAGGTATGACTATCCAGCCCTACGGACCTTCAACTCGCTTACGCTGGCATCCCTTAGTTGTGGCAAAACCGCAAAGCAAGAGCAGACAACACATGGGAGGATTACGCCACCAATGACTTGAACAAGGCAACTGAAGTGATTCGAGATGTACAAAATCCCCTCCGACTTCCTTCTCGAAAACCAATACGGACTACTGACTAGTATCTGTAGTCGATCGCCGTCTATCAATATCTCAGAGACTCGAAGATGTGGGGCAAGTTCAAAGCGATCAACAAAGGCGTCCGTGCAGAGATGCTTCGTGCACAGGAGCAATATAACAAGGACAACGACAAGGATTCAAAACTGCAGGATTGTTGGGATGCGTGGTTGAAACACAAACTTGGCGATGACGGCAAGAAGTGGGTGACAGACGCGATGGAGGACTTGAAAACGAAGCACAAGCCAGAGGACAGCAGCGAGGATGACCCCCTTGGGCATGAGTTGTACGATGCGTTGACGACGATCCTGGATCTTCTGGCAACGGAGGCAGGTGAGGCCATCAAAATCTCCAATTTCGATCTGGGGCTTGATGATGATGCAATGGACACCTCGGATTGACAGGTTTATACATTAAAGCTCTTCTTATATAGCATATGAAAGACTATCACTAGGGCAAACATTCTCTACAGAATGAATCCGCTTCATCAACTCTCTCAAAAGAGCATCATTCTTGTACATCTCCAACGCCTTTTCTTTCCAAACATCCCATTCCAAGACCCCATCGACATTAATGGCTTTCCGAAGGCCCTGAAAGAGGCGAGGAAACCCTTCCAATCAGCAAGGTCATACCCACAGCAGAATTCAACCCTGTGAAGGATCCACCCATTTCTCACAGCTTCGGCAAGGTCAGGATGACCCCTATCCTTAGATGATTGCGCCAATGCCAGTTCGTCCTCCCGGGGGTGGTTGACCCCATCATAGAAATCAGCAACATGGAGAAGCATAATGGGGGAATTGAAAGCTGCAGCTTTCAATTCCGTATGCGCCCATTCCCAGTCGACGACCCCTGTGATATTGTAATTGTCGTCAACGAGGATATGGTCACCTTTGTCGTCTCCACCACAACGGATTTACATAATATCTGACCCGTTCCGAATGGGCATGAGCTCCCGCGTTTGACGCATTCCGACGGGATACTGCCTCTCAACGCGTCTGTTAGACTCCCTATCGTTCGATGCCGCCGGTTCAGGATGCATTGAAACCGCTTTAGTAACTGGATGGTGTAGCATGTATTTTCGAATTCTCAACTGCATGATTGTTACATGTATGACATTCAGCTCAATTCTTCTAGCAGGAGAAACTTGATACGTTGACCTCGCCCATTCAAGGCACTACGAGTACATACCCAATGTACAGAGTATATACATAGGTGCAACACAAAGCATTGACACTAGCCGTCCTATTTAATATTAATCATTCTGTCATCTAGCACATACGACCACAGGGTGTGGAGAACAGGGCTTCCCGTCCGCTCAGCCGTACTTAAGCCACACGCCGGCCGGTTAGTAGTTGGGTGGGTGACCACCAGCGAATCCCGGCTGTTGTATGTTTTTTTGCTCACCCAGGATTTTCAAGATCAGATGGACAGGACGCACCGTCTTCAAGGTATATCGACCGGTTTGTAACAACCCTTAACCGCTCCGGCGGGATCAGGGAAGAATAAAGACGCAAGTTGTCCAACGGGGTCTGTGGCCGAGTTGTTGACGGTCTTGTCGTTGCTGGCAAGCTTCCATAGCTGCATGAAGTCCAGGCTTACTGCCTCGGCCCTAGTTGCTTTTGCTGATGCTCACTGGAACACAGTTGTCATAGCAAGGTAATCAGGGTAATATAAATACTAATAAATATAAGTATATAGCTTAGATATAGAGGTATATCCTTCTCTTATTCTCCTACTCTAGCTCTTTTCTAATAGATATAAATAAGGGGATGATTATGCTAGTTAGTATATATTATATTATATCTATTTAGGTATACTAAGTATATTATTAATATAATAAATATTACTCTATAATATACCCCCCTAGCTTAGATATTAATTAAGCTATATGCCTCTATCTATCTTAGTTAACTAATATTCTAAATTTATCTAGATTCTTTAGATTTAGTATTTTAATAAATCTTTTTAGTTTCTCTTTATATAATATCTTAGTAAGATTATTAATACTTATATTATATATACTAATCTATTTAATATCTATCTCCCTAGCTTATATCTTCTCTCTTAGCTAGTATTAATAAATATTAATATAGTAAGGCTTTATAATACTATTAGGATTATTATTTCTTATAAGTTAGACTATCTACTAATTATATACTAAATAAAGATAGATATTTATGGGTTAAATATAATCTCGTTAAATAATCTCTTCTATTGGTATAACTACTATCTAGTATCTAATAAAGCTAGTAGCTCTACTTTTATTAATAATATTATAACTATTTATTATCTTACTATTTTTTAAACTACTACTTTATTAAATATCTTTTTAAGATATTTATCTAAGGTATATTAATTCTTATTATCTATAAATATAATATTATTAATAAAGGATATAATTTATATCTTTATTTATTTATTATATTTTAGTATATATCTCTTTATACTTAATAGATACTCTATTATCTATCTTATTATTATTATATATGTTAAAAATAGATTAGATAGGAACTTAGATAGTTTATTTACTATATAGGCTATATCTAGTCTTATTATTATTATTAAATATAAAATTAAGCTAATTAGCTATTATTATCAATAAATCTTATACTTTAATACTTCTTTTAAATATTTTATTAATTTTAGATATAATAATAGAGATATTAGAATATACTTTAGATCTATATTATATTAAGTTATTATATATTTTATATATAATATTTAGAAGAGCTATAATTATCTCCTTAATCTATCTCTTATAATTTATATATTTAGGATCTACTTTACCTCTCTTATATTCCTTAATTTATATATTTTTTCTAGTTCTTCAATAATCTTTTAAGCTTCTCTTTTCTTCAGTATTATAAGGAAGTTAAGTATTAATATATTATCTATATATCATATTATACTAATTCCATATCTTATAAAATAGTTATAATCTTCTAAAATCTTCTTAAACCTTAGATAACTAAATATTATTAATAGCTTTTTAAGCTATACGAGAGGTAGTCTTCTTATATTATAAAAGAACTTTCTTAATAACTATATCTTTAATATCTTCTCTATATTTAATAATAATATTATATATATAATTTTATTTATTAGAGCCTATATAAAAGTATTTACTATATTTAGTTATATTATATTACGCTTAAATATTATTATTAATAATATAACAAGATAAAAGAACTTTACTATTAGTATAGCTATCTTAGTATCTTTATATAATATTAGTTAAAGATCTCTTCTTATATATAGTTATACTTTAAACTTTATTAGGAAGCTTACTTTATTAAATTTATATATAAATATTTATTTTAGAGATATAGTATTATTATTAAATAATTTCTTTATCTTCTTATATATACTTAATAATCTAAGATTCTCTATCTATTTTTATACTACTAGCTTTTATATATTCTAAAACTTATATTTTAGTATAATCTTCTAATTAGATAATACAAATTATAGTCTATCCTAGTACTCTTCTACTAATATACTATCTAGGTCTAATAGTAGTCTAAATATTCCTATTATAAAAGATATATATATTGGAATTACCAAGGGTAAGGTAGTATCACCAGGGGTAAAGAGAAATAGGCTGGGCTAATGCCTCTTCACTTACCTAGGGTGAGATCTTATATTTATATCTAGCTACTGGCTATCTATCTAAAAGATAAGTTATAGATATTATAGAGATTTCTTAGGTTAACCTTAGTAATCTAAGATTAATCTTAATAATTATTAATCTACTTATAATATTTATTCACTAATATCACATCCTCCCCTACTTAAGGTGAAGCCTATCCTTAGTAGATTATCTAACTCTTTACTAAAAGATCCTTATAGTCTAAGGGAGGGATATTATATATAGTAAGTAGGATTAGATTTATACTTAGTAAGTAATATTAGATTATATTTAGTAAGTAGTATTAGATTATACTTAGTAAGTAGTATTAGATTATGCTTAGTAAGTAGTATTAGATTATACTTAGTAAGTAGTATTAGATTATGCTTAGTAAGTAGTATTAGATTATGCTTAGTAAGTAGTATTAGATTATACTTAGTAAGTAGTATTAGATTATATATAGTAAGGAGGGTTACTAGTATGGTTATTATAGTAGAGGTAAGGTAAGGTTATATATTATTTATTTTAATTTTAGGTAACTCTACTTTACCTTACTTATTCTCTTTTTATCTTTTATATTTCTTTTTCTCTTTTTCTTTCTTCTCCTATAAGCATCTTTCTTTTTATTATATTAATTATTATCTTCTTTTAGTAAATCTCTTTCTTTATATATTAGTCTTCTATATTCTTCTTATACTTAGTAAATATAAGTACCCTATAAAAGAAGGATAAAGACTATCTTATTTATTAGAAAAGTATAATTACTTTTAGTAAATTTAATAAATACTCTTCCTAGCTTTAGTAATTATCTTTTATTAGTGATAGAAGCTTATCTTAGTAGACCTAATAAAAATATATTAAAGATAATAAATATTATTCACCTAATTATCTAGAAGTTTAATAAGAAGAGGAAGCTAGATATAAAGGAATATACTTACTTAGGCTATATATTGGTTATTATTCTCTAGTAGTAAGATACATCTTATAACTATATATTAGCTTATAATAATTATTTTTTAGGTAAGGATTCCTTTAGGGGATATATCTCTATATCTAGTTATAATAAATTTATATTCTTTTAGGGGTCCTGTGCTAACTATACTTAGAGTAATTAAAGATTAGTATATTTATTTTATATATAGGATCTTTATATATAGGATTCTAATACTCTTAATAAGTATATATTCTTCTTAGTAAATATTTTTTATCTATAGTTACTAATCTTTTTTACTCTTATAGACTTATTATTTAAGCTAGTAGTCTTAGTTTCTTTATTAATTATAATAATAAGTTATATAATTAGCCTGTAGAGTTAGTAGTAGTAACTAATAATTATAGTAAGAAGTTAGATAATAGTATTAATAAAGGTTCTCTAGATAATAGTAAGTATATATAGTCTAGTATAAAAAATAATATTAATTCTCTTATAATAAAGATAAATTCTTTTAGTATTTCTTATAGTAAAGGCTCTTCTTTTATAATAGAGATAGATTCTTCTAGTATTTCTTATAGTAAAGGCTCTTCTCCTATAGTAGAGAAGGCTCTAGCTAAGAAGTATTATCTTTTTTTAAAATATTCTATAGTAGTAGTAATTAGTCTAGCTAAGAGATATTATTTTATTATAGTAACTCTCTCTTATATTTAAGCTAGTTCTTCTTTAATAACTCTCTCTCTTATTTAAGATAGTTTAGTTAGGTTAACTCTCTCTTTCTCTTAGATTAATTTTATTATAGTAATTTCTTCTTATACTTTAGTAAGTATCTTATTAATAGC